TGTATGAGTGTTTGCAGGGAATTTGTCGTAGTCAATACTTAATGAGATGAAGAGATTGATTTAACATGAGTTGATTGGTAGGGGTTAGCAACCACTAAGAAGATAAAACAGGGGGATAGAAGCCACTAAGAAGATTAAAACGGGGGACCTAGGAATTAGGATGAGTTGATTGGTAAAGGATAGCAGCCCCTTGGAAGATGGAAATGTCGGGCCTCTTCATCCAAAAGATATCATTACTCTTTGGCCACAAAATTACTGTTTCATAATGGAACTTCTTTTATACCGAGAAATCCTTGAGGACGCATGGTTAGGAACTCAGTGGAAAATGGGACTGCCTGGTGTCCTCTATCCTTCTCCACTTAAGTAGCAGACTCTTAACGAAAAAAACTCACTGAATCTCATTGCACTTACTATTTCACATCACTTCTCCTTCATTCTTTCACTCAATATAATTGAAAAGCTTGTTTCTGTATACTATGTACGATGTGCAGAAAAAGTTATGGTTGTCACATGATAGATATATATACCATGATTATCATAAATGAGATTAGCTAAGTAGATGTTCTGACTCCTTCCAGAAGAGGGAAAAAAGAACTTCTTGATCTAGATGGCCGATAGTGGTACCAGGTGGCAGGCAACATGAACTTCCAGTTAAAAGGAATAGTTGTACTTGATGTAACTTAAAGTATTCTCTTGGGAAGTTCTGAGTGAAATTCATTCCTATTCATTGTGAGCAGGTAGATAAAACTTAAGTACATAAAGATTGGTATTGATCATGTCTTTTAAGTTCTAACAAAGATTTTCCGGCAGGACTCCCCCAATATTGGGAGGGGCATCAATTGAATTCAAGTATATTAGTGCAATGATCTTTATATGATTACATTGGGTATGTCGTTGTTGTTGATCTTTATATGACACGGTGAAGTCTAAGAAATATTAAAGGTAAGGTCATTGGATAGCAGATGTTTGGTATGTATCACAATCAGATTTACACAAACTACATCCGTGCATCACTTGATGTCGACTCTTAATTCATTTGACATTGCAAAACACAAAGTATATGAAAAAACCTAATTATCTATAATCAATAAGTACTATTTTTCCACACCCCCTAAGAGATCTTCACTTCTTCTATTAAAATTTAAAACGTTCCATGGCGATGTATTGGCAGCATCAAGATTCAATGTCTTTGGCAATAAATCCTAGAGCAACCTAACTAAGGAGGTAAATTTACCTGGCTCATGTTATTTGGCACAAAAGTTAGCTCATACAAAATCTCTACTCTAGTATCTCACCACATAATAAAGGGGCACTACAAACGAACCTACGACAGTAATATCTTTTCAAGACGGGGGTCAATGAAAATGGGGAAAACATGTTTTTCTTTCTGTTGGGTGCACTAGAGACTGCATTATTTTTGTGTTCCTATCAAAGAGTAGCCGGACAATGCTAGAGTTCTCTCTGGATCTCTAATACCCATGTTGCTCGGACTCTCCAAAATTGTTGCTGCGGCCCTGTCTGATTCTCCAAAATGCACTACTTTTGAAGAATCCAAGCAACATAGCTAAAAAACAAGCATAAATTACACCTATCATATCTAAAACAATTTAAACAAGCTAAGCATATCCCTAATTGATAATATTCTTAAAAATAATATAAACAAAAATTACTGGCATAGTCCAACTAAAGGCATGTCCAATTAGCACTTCACCCTCATAAATAACCCCATGCCTTTGTGATACAATTGTGAAATCACAAAGCACACAAGCAGTTGCAGTAATAGCCCGTTGACACCCCTAATTTTCGTTAAGAAGAAAAATTATTCCTCATTTGAACGAAATGGATCTGAATATATCAAAACAATTCACCAGACCCCAACTAAATTAATCAATTTGATATATCTGCCGACTGTCCTAATAAACAACACTCAACTAATATATGAAACTGATTAGATTTTGATCCGTGAAAGAAACGATTAGGCAGAAAAACAAAAAATAGAGAGCTAAAACAGACAAGTGATACCTTTTCTGATCGTCGTGACGGCGACACACAAAGAAAGAAGGATGAAATCGACATGAATTAGAGTTGTTAGAAGCTGAATCATATATCTGTTTGCATCTCTTGCATACTTTCTCTCTGCTCCGATTCCCTTCTGCTTCCACTCCCGCTGTCTTTCCTGCTTTTTCCGCCATGTCCCAACTTCACCATTTATCGCGCACAATTCTGATCTAACCCAATTTATGCCGGTTCAAAACGAATCGAAATCGATAATTCCAACAAAAAAAAAAAGTTATTGATCTATCAATAATGGGTTATTGGTTTAGCTTCTTTTTTTTTGTTATTGAGTTATCGATTCTTAATGGTTTAAGGTTTTTTCTTAATGGGTTAACCGATTAGTAAATTAAATAATTATATTTATACCATTTTGTATATAAAAGTCCTTAACTTAAAGTTTTGTTCTTCCTTTTATTTCTGACTATGTCATAATCTTGGTTATTCTACAATGTAAAAGTGTTTATTTTTTAGCAAGATGCAACTTGTGAACTCATGTACATGATTCATTCAATTTATCACCTTGTTTCTAAGTGATTTTTTATTAATTTATTTTTGTATCAAATCTTAACAGTTAAATCAATAACTGAATCGATAACTATCAATAACCGATAAACCACTACCCGATAAGTCAATATCTTAATGTTTTCTAGAACGATTTTGCATCTCTAGAAACCGATAACCAATAAGTCAAACCGATATACTTCAAAACCGAATCAAACCAACCGATACACAATTTGAACTCTTTATTTGATTAAATATTAAGTTGTTAATTATAAGAAAAAATAATTTAATTAAATATAAAAAAGTTTTAAAACATTTGTGTTGTAGTTCAAACAAAACAAAGTTTAAAAATCAAAATAGACATGGATTTCTATGGGCCTGCTAGAGGATCTATCCAATTGTATTTGAACAAATTTTATAAACAACAAAATTCAGAAATAACAAAGATAATAGATATAATAAGAATTTATAGCTATAGTTTAATAATTATGTTCCATAGTTATAGTTTTGTTTGCTATGGAAGTTGCGGTTTGTATATTTCTCTTGACCGTTTGTAAATTTCGTTTGCAAATATACAAGCAGGGTAAGTATATACAAATGGAGGCTACAATTTGTATCCTCTGCTTGTCCGTTTGTATATTTCGCTTGTGAATATATAAATAGGGTAAGCATATACAAATTATGTATTTATACATTTAGGAATTTTTTAGAACACCGTTGTATATTTCACTTGCCAATATACAAACAAGGTAATTTATTATGAATTTTTCATAAATTGTATACAAATACCTAGGGTTAGCATATACAAATTTTGAATTTATACAATTAAAAAACCGAATAGCAAAATTTCACGAAACATAGCCATGGATTAAAAATAATCAAAACTATAGTTATATTACATAATATACTCTAGATGTTTGTCATTTCGCATAATTTTTCCTTCTATAAAATACTCTAGTATATATGTTAATTAATCAGCGAAACGATAATTTCAAAAACTACATATTTTATTTGAGTTTCGATTTGGATACATCATAACTGAAGTGTGATTCACATGCACCAGGGATGCATTTGCATGTCTTGCTTGCCCCTCTCTCTTGTTCCCCTCCTTCGATGTATTTTATTTTTAAGTATTTGTGTTATACAATATCATGTATTCGTGTATCCAGTATCAATTTATACAAGTGTATTCAAAAGAATGTTAAAGCATATATTTGGCTATAGGGAAAAAGGACAAATATACCCCCGAACTATCGTAAATGGTATGCAAATACTCTCCTTCATACTTTTGGGACATTGGTGCCCTTGCTGTCCAAAAACTAGAGCATATATACCCTTTATACTAATGGACATACACGTGTCATAATCTTATCCACTGATCCGACATTTATCGGCGGATAAGATTGCGCCACGTGTCCCTATTTAGTCTTCCATTAGAGTGAAGGGCATATATGCTCTAGTTTTTGGACGGCAAGGGCACCAATGTTCCAAAAATATGATGGAGGATATTTGCATACCATTTACGATAGTTCGAGGTATATTTGTATTAATTTCTACAAGTGTGCATATCCATCCAATATCAATTTTGAAAATATGTCTTTTGACATATATGCATAAGCTTGCATCAATTTCTACGAATGTAACTGTGCATCCAATATCAGTCTCACAATTACCAACGTATTTGAAACCAATGTTTATTTCATTTAGTGTATCTAATATCGATTTGATGAACCAAATGCATAAAACATGCATATGATATCAAATATGCACGGATACGTTCATAAATGTACACTAATGTATCAAGTGTATTTGTATGTAAATATATATTTTAAAGAAGAAGAAGATATACTAGAAACCACCAAGATTTACTACAACAATATCGATTACATTCGTTACATAAAATGGAATAACAATATCATCCTTTTTGACTTACAACATCAAGTATTCGAATATGATTTTCAACTCTATCCTTCAATTTTGACTTGCAATTGATTGGTAATATGATCAATCTTAATCGATCAACGTAACTATCATTGAAGAAGGACAAGAAGATGTAAAAAGAGAGGTGAGAGGCGACCAAGAAAAAGGGAAATTTAAGAGAGATGAAAGAGTGAGAGTGAGAATGAGAATGAAAAAGAATTATGCGATCTGCTAAGAAAATCAAGAAATAATGCATGATTGTGTAATTTTTTTAAAAGTAGTGTTTTATTTATTGATTTTGTGCGGTTTTCTTCCTCATTTTTCCTTATATTCTTGATATAATAAAATTTTAAAAAATAATAAAATTGGACAAATAAAATTAGAGAAGAATTTCAAAAATAGAAGAAAAAAGGTGAAAGGAAAGATATAACGTAGGCTATAATAATAATAGTAAATAGTAATAAAAACTTTATCCAAAACAAATACTAATATAATATCGTCGTCTAGGTAGTTGATGATGAAGTAGCGATACACTTCGTCCCACGTTCACGGTGACCGGAGCCTGAGGCCCTCAGCACGCAGGCAAAGTAAGCTCTCTGCTCCCTGCGAAGAAGACGGCGGACACCAGATTCGAACGGAGCTTCGTTTTTCATTGTAATCAGCACATTAAAAACCCATAAATACCGTTTTTTCTATTATTGATTTCATCCCTAAATAGTACTCCTTCTTGAACAAAAAAAAATGTCTTTTTCTCTTATCTCCTTATCTTCTTCTTCATCTTCTATAGTTTCCAGAACTTTTCCTTCCTTTTTCTCTTCCGAAACTTCATCTCCGCCGTCTTCTCTACTAACCCTTTTGAGGAATCAGTCTAATTTTAGTCATGTTGCGTCAATCTATAGAAATTTCGGTTCCAGTTCGTGTTCTTTCGTTTCTTCGGGTTGTTCTATGTCGGCTGCCGATTATGTGGTTCCGAGGGCTTTTCCGTCTTCCTTTGAATCTGAATTTTCCTCTTCTGGTAGAAATTCTGATGGGGAAAGCTCGGAGGTTGGGTCAGGTGAAAATGATGAACAAGGGGCTGAGACTGACGATGAAGACCAAGTGTTGATTGTTGATGAGGAAGATGTGGGTTATTCGAATTCTGATCTTCCTCAAAGATGGGATGTTTTGGGTCTTGGCCAAGCTATGGTAAATTCCCTTGCACCCCCTTTTCATTTTGTACTTATTGTTAGTAGGAATGTTTTAGAGGATGCTCAACTGTTAGAATGTACTCCCTCCGTTTTTAATTTGATTGTCTAGTTTTTAGTTAGCACATCTTGTGGAATGTACCAGAATTGCCAAAAAAAAGTAAAGAACCATTCTTTTTTAAATGGACTGAAAAGCAAAGTAAGACGAATAACGGAGGGAATGTGTTGTTTTATACTTATACATGAAATGGAGCAGTTCTGTAATCCCTTTATGACAAACAGTGAATGATGGGGATATTGATTAATCCCATATTAAGGTGTTCTTACATTGTAGGGGAGAATCCGGAAAACAAGTTTGTATATAAGTTCAAATGGGTCTTTTTAGGACGTTGAAGGATTGCTGTGCTTTTTACTCCCTTATAGATAATGTTTTGCTTTCACTTAGTTGTTGAAATACCTTAAAGCTATATTTAGATGTATTTCTAATACCGAATAAGTGAGATTTATGTATAATCCTTTTGTCTTCTTATCTTATGTTTTTCCAAATCTTCTCTTACATGAATTACATTATGGAAGGATGCATCACACTGTCCTATCTGGCATTAACTTTCCTGTTTTGCTTTATTTGGTTTGTCATCGTTCTTACCGAAGTTTCACATTGTTTAGACAATAGTCAGATATTTCTTTGTTATAGTACTAGCTTCTTTCATGTGGTGATGTTCTTTGGCGATTATGCAGGTTGATTTTTCTGGAATGGTTGACAATGAGTTTCTGGAAAGGCTTGGATTAGAGAAGGGTACCAGAAAGGTCGTCCATCATGAGGAAAGGGGTAAAGTTCTGAGTGCAATGGATGGATGCAGTTACAAGGCTGCTGCGGGTGGATCACTTTCTAATAGTCTGGTTGCCTTGGCCAGGCTTGGTGGTCAGTCAATAGCTGGTCCTGCTCTGAATGTAGCTTTGGCTGGTAGTATTGGAAGTGATCCGTTGGGTGGATTTTACAGGTAAAGTTCAACTCTTTTAGTCTTATCCCATTCTTTCTTTTTTGGGGGTGGGTGGGGGGGATTGATATTGTGAAGTCTTCCCTTCGAACTTTTCCTACTTCTACTCCATTGGTGTATGGAACACTCAATTGTATGATTGGAAGCAGAGGACCCTTGCCACTAGGCTGATTCCCACTAGTCAAATATCTCCCCACTCCCACTCTTTTTTTCCATGTGTCATTGTGAAGGTACTGCAGTCTTCGGGTGGGGGGTAGGATCACTGCAAAAACTCTCACTAGAAGTTGTACATGGCTCTCTGAGATTTCACCAGCTGATGGGAGAACAGAGTCTTTTGGTATTATGCATCCTAGATTTTTGAATGAATGTCCACTCTCATGATTTATATATGAAAAATATTAAAACCTTCCAACAAATAAATGGGGAGCTTGAGAGAGTTTGTTGTATACTGTCCAATGATTGGTTTTAATCCTAGTGCGTCAATTAGACTGACCACTGACAGGAGCTGCATCACTTTGTATGTAGATCCAAACTTCGACGAGCAAATGTGAATTTTTTATCAGCACCAGTGAAGGATGGGACGACAGGAACTGTGATAGTCCTCACAACTTCGGATGCTCAGCGAACAATGCTAGCATACCAGGTCAGTAAATGTTCTGTAGTAACTCGCGCTTATTCTTTTATGGATGGAAATGATAGCTAGCTTGGTGCTGAGTGTGAGTGGATTAGAGTAACCCTATCCCAGACATAATTGTAGACCTTATAGCATACGAGCCAGAGTTCCAAACCTGTCACCCTATCACCATCTATGGATATCTACTTGCAGTATGTTCAATTGGTTCCTTGAGATGATGATCCATGGTTTAAGGGAAATAGTTCTTGATCAATTCACCCATTGAACCTTTTCTTTTGGACCTGTAATGACTTTACCTCAGAAGAACCTTAAACATTACTACTTTGGCTGATACTATGTTATGTAAGTAGACCACTTTAAGCAATGGTTTAACAAGTCTTTTGCCTGGCTCTGATCTAATGTACACATTTTATGAAAAGAAGCAAACTAGAGGAGCCAGAAAAAGGTGTGATATTCAGAAGAAAAGATAAACTGGATAGAAAGTTCCCTCTTCTTGTGGTTTTCTCCTTGGTGGGATAAATAGTGGGTTATTGTGGCTCAGCAAAGACTTGTATGCAATATGCATTGTTCTCTTACTGCAAGTCAGCGAAGACCGTCTGTTTTAGCTGCCTTTTCTTTTGCCATGATACGGTGTTATGAGCCTAATATGAACAAGATAGAGTTCATAGGCCTTATCTCGGACTCTTTAAAAATGTTGACGAGTGCGTGTCGTATACTCCAGAATTAGTGCATTTTGGAATCTGACTCGGGCGTGGCAACAATTTTGGAGAGTCTGAGCAACATAGTATAGAACATCTCTTTTTAATCGTACCTGAGAAATTTATTGTAACAGTAAGAAATGCAACCTACTGCTTTCCACAAGGACAAAAAACCTTGGGTGTCCCTTCTGCAGCATGTCATTTTAACTGTTTTTCTCTGCTCCTGTTGTGACATCAGGGTACATCATCAAGGATAAACTATGACCCATGCTTGGCGGAGGCAATTACTAAAACAAATATATTAGTTGTGGAAGGATACTTGTTTGAACTTCCTGATACAGTCCGAACAATTTCGAAAGTCTGCGAGGAAGCCCGCAAGAATGGAGCATTAGTTGCCATCACAGCATCAGATGTGTCCTGCATTGAGAGACATTATGATGATTACTGGTAAAACCTTATTTTCCATCTTGCTTCTGCATAATAAAGCTGAAAATCCCCCCCCACCCCCCAGCCCCTCTAACAAATGGGGAAAAAACCAACTCTAATAAAGCCAAAGTAGAAAGAAAGAGAAAAGCTTAATTGACTAGTTTAACTTGGTCTTTGGCATCCGGATCCTCGATTTGAACAGAACTGTTTTGATCAAGCTAAAGTCTACTAGTGGCTAGCAGTACATTGAAATTGTCATAAACGCTTGAGTCAGAAAACCAAATTTTGTTGCTTAGACATGTGCAGAGTGAACATGAATTTGTTTCTTTTACTATTACAGCGTTATTTAGCCTTACTATTTTCCACATTTTTCGTCCAGGGAAATCATGGCAAATTATGCGGATATAGTATTTGCGAACAGCGAAGAAGCAAAAGCTTTCTGTCATTTTTCATCAAATGAAAGTCCCCTTTCTGCTACAAGGTACCTGAGCCATTTCGTCCCTTTAGTTTCCGTCACAGATGGGCCAAAAGGTTCTTACATTGGTGTGAAAGGGGAAGCTATCTATATTCCTCCGTCACCATGCACGCCCGTGGATACCTGTGGCGCAGGGGATGCTTACGCATCAGGTATTTTGTATGGAATATTGAGGGGTGTGTCCGATTTGAAAAACATGGGTTCCATAGCGTCCAAAGTTGCATCCGTAGTTGTAGGACAACAAGGTACTAGGCTTAGGGTACAAGACGCTATTGGGTTGGCAGAGTCATTTTCAGTCCACTGCAGGAACTCAACTTTTTGGTCAGACATAGGTTCCGATCAGATCTCCAGCTTGTAATACTCAGAAGGTTGGCAAAGTCTTGGTGTTCTAAGTTACCCGGTACATGTGCTGGCGGGAAGTAGTAGATGCCCCGTGGAATTAGTCGAGGTGCACATAAGCTGGCCTGCACATCAGTTTAGTGATTATAGCATTAGTTCCTTTTTCACATTCATAGATGTTGAGTTGTGTACATTGACATTCATTGTAATTATTCACGTAATGGATTCAGCAAAAGATTTAAGGACATTGAATTTGCTTCTTTTTACATAGATTTCAAAAGGTTTTGATGTATATTGAGGAAATCTCGATTTAGATCCTATTTTAGTGGATTGTTTTCTATAATAATTTGGTGATCATATAAGTCATTCACTCTCAAGCATAAAATAGGATTATAAGTAGAAAAAAACACAAAATGTTTTCTTTTTTTGACAATTAATCAATGTGCACAAATAAATAGAAGAAAGAGTGATGGTGTAATGATACTTGTATCGTTAATAAAAAATTTCGAATTCAAGTTTTGGACATGGAGTTGTCTCTTATAGGTAGTGTTTTAACTTTTAAGTGAGATTTTTTATGTGAGTTTGGATTAATTGAGTTTCGAATTAATGTGCATAAATAAAGAAATAGAAAAAGAGTGATTAGTAATGATATTTTCATCGTTAATCAGAAATTTCGAATTCGAGTTTTAAAAATGGAGACAAATAAACTTATATAAAGTAGACATTTAAACTTGTATAAAGTTGAGAAAATAAACACAGACGTCCTACGTGGCATTATATATGGAAATTTGTGTCTTAACTCCTACGTGGTGTCTTACGTGTATTATGTTACGCATATGTGTATTTGTTCAACTTTATACAAGTTTAAATGTCTATTTGAACACACTCAAAGTTAAAGGACATAAATGTGAAATAGAGTCAAGTTAAATGACACATTTATATATTATGCTTTTAACTTTTAAGTGAGACTTTGGACGCGAATTTTGATTAGTTGAATTTCAAAATGCTTGTGCATAAATAAAGAAATAGAAAAAAATGAGTGAGGGAGAACATTGTAATTCTTTCAACCATAGGGGAAACTTATGTAAATAAGAAAAATAAATACGACGAAGAGCTTTTACAATAATTAATTAATTGTTCAAAAATTCTTATTCGGACCGGAAAACACAACAACTGAAGTGAAACGGTGGAGAAAACTATATTTTCAGAGTGACAATAACAACATTGTTCTTCGAGGAGATTAAGGATTTACCAATTATCTGGCGAGTTCGATCTCTATTTAGTTTGAGATTTTTCCTGATCTCAAGTTGCTTCAACTATTTCTTTCCCTTAATGGGTATTTTTTTGGATTTTACTAGTCTTTGCTTTCTTGATTTGGTTTCTTGATTTTCTGTTGTTTGATTTTTGGATTTTGCCCTTTTTCCTTTTGAGTAATTGGAATTAGGTTTTTTTTTTTTTTTTTTACCGTGGTTTCCGGGCGTCGCTTTGCGAACCCGACTAGAGTAATTGGAATTAGGTTGAAAAGTGGAATTCTACTGAAGGTGTTCTTTCATTTGAACATTGGTTTAGAGTTTAATTAAGTTTAAAGATTGAATTTTTAATGTTATCCTACCTTGTTTTCAAGCTAAAAAGTTCCTAGCTTTAAGTGTTTATTCTTGTTTTGGGGTAATTTATTGGGAGAGTTGTAGTTGGAAGAGTTTAATCTTCTTGTTCCTGATCTGGGGTTGCTTGTTTTTGTATGCTGAATCACTATATAGTATATTTGTTTTGGTGGTTTTGAGAATATTTGTCTAGGAGCTTTGGTTCTTCATGGATTTTATGGGAGAATTCAGTTTTGCTGGAGGGACTGATGATGTTAGTGGCTTTGACAATTGGGGCTCTGGTTTTCCTGATCAGGAAGTTTGGGCTACTGAGGATGATTATAGAGCCTGGAATGCCGGGATCTCCTCCGAGACCCCTTCGAATTCGAATCAGGATGGTAGACATTCCCTAAACCGATCCGAGAGTGACCCTCCCCACAAGAGATCACGGAACGTGCAAGGGGTAGATTCAGTTAATAATGGCGCTAAAGCAATTGGAAAGATGTTCTTCAAAACTAAATTGTGTTGCAAGTTCCGCGCTGGGGTTTGCCCTTATATTACTAATTGTAACTTTGCTCATGGAATGGAGGAGTTGCGCAAGCCGCCTGCTAATTGGCAAGATATAGTGGCTGCACATGAAAGTGAGCGTGGTGGAGAAGTGATGCTGGAACCAAGAGAAGAACATCAGATACCAACTGCTAGTTCTCCTGAGCTACGTACGGAGTCCCAAAGGTCCTACAAAGGAAGGCATTGCAAGAAGTTTTATACTGAAGAAGGATGTCCTTATGGAGATACTTGCACTTTCCTTCACGATGAACAATATCGAGCTAGAGAGAGTGTTGCAATAAGTGTGACTCCCGCTTTAGGTGTATTCGGTAATAATGCTGCTGGAGCAAACCTGAAGCCTTCAAACTGGAAAACAAGAATTTGTAATAAGTGGGAAACCACTGGTTATTGCCCTTTCGGCAGCAAGTGTCATTTTGCACATGGAGCGGCAGGTATGAATGTGGTTTTTGCTTATTGTTTTTGGTATAGGAGATGTGATTTTACTGTTTATTGCGAGTGTTACTAGTTAGTGCATTTTATATCTATTTTTCTCTGCATATATATACTTGGTTAAATTTTGTTTTGGGTAATAATGTGCATCACACTATATGAGTGTCATAGACATACAAATGTTAAGATGGACGTGCTTTGTACAAGATCAGAAATAATCACATCTGACAAAAGGTACATGTAGTACATATAGATTATAAACCAAGGGATGATTGTTCTTGATTGATTGGAAAATAAAGATACGAGAGAAAATAGGTTGGCATGGTTTAGTCATGTTCTACGTAAACCTCCAAATGCATCGATCAGGTGTAACACTACACTATGATGATTGTAGGTGTTAAAAGAGGATAAAGGTCTATCTTTATTCATAAATAAACAAAAGGTGTACAAAATTTGTCCTAGCCTTGGTGGACAAAGTTACCTGGTACCTATTGCTGGTGGGAGGTGGTAGGTATCTCGTGGAATTAGTCGAGGTGCGTGAAAGCTGGCCCGGACACCATAATCATCAAAAAAAAAAAAGGTGGACTAAGATCTATACTCGCATGGAGAGAACTTGTCTAAAGAAACCCACTGTACTTCGTAAAGTGTTTCCATGCTTATTTAATGAAGGACATAACAATTAGCACACAAGAAGTGATATATGAATATCTTGGCAGGCGATACCATATATTTGAAATTATGGATTAACACTTAAGTCATGCTGGTATATTTACATTAGGTTCAGCTTTTGCTGAGAAATTTATTTGGTTTGTTTCGAGAATTCATATGTCAGTCTAGCAAACAAATGTGAGATTAGAGAATCTTCAGTTTTAGATAATTCTTAATTTGTCTTAAAAATCCCTCTGCAACCTGGGGAAAGATCCACCTCCAACTATGTGATATTAACTAAATGGGAAATATGAATGTTCTGTTATGGTCCTATGGAGAGAACAAAGAAAGGCAGGGGGGCTGAAAGGAGATATGAAAGGCACACAGCAAAACTGACTCGTACTTGATGTGGATGCATAGCATGCCGCCTGAGCAATCTTTTTTGTGTCCAGCCCTATTGCCATTTTGTTATTTGCGATAAGTAGCTATTGTGATTTAGTTATTTTGCTCTCAGTCATCTTTCAAGCTCCTGTTGCCATATCAACTGGCTATAGCTTTGCTTATGCTTGATTACTTCAGTTTATAACTAAACTTGCTCATTTAATTTATTGTATTAACGGTTGTGAAAAATTTACTAGCAGTATCTTTGCTGGAATTAGCTTGGTTCTCAATGTTGTTACTCCAACTCACAGTTTAAGTCTTGGAAGGTATTTTGGATTGCCGAACTAAACTAGACAGAATGTAGCTTTGCATTTACTAAATTAGATTCCAATTTAAACAAAAGAGGTACTGTAATCAGATGTATATATATGGTGTCAAAGTTTTCATACTGAAGATAGTATAGTTGTGTTTTGTGTAACAGGGAGAGTATGTCATTATAAAATAATCTGTCATTGGACTAGCAGTGCTGAAGGAATCATATGAGTTATGAAGCACGGGGAGGCAGTCGAATGTTGACTTGACTTTGTATACTTGGAACTGTCTTTGATTTTAGTGTAGGGAGACCTGTATAAACTAATTGTTTATAGTTGGAAATTCTGCATCAATATAACCTTACATCACCAGAGCATAATATTTGTATATGACTTGATGCTTTGCCAATTTTGAGATATTGTTTCTCAAAATTATTTGGATTTTTAACTTGATATTCATTTCTAAACATGTCCTCGATATTCCACCCTATCGATTTGTTTTTTCCTAATTGTAGTTGTATATTTGATCTGGTGTAATATCAGCTATCTATCTGGCAGAATTGCACAAATATGGGGGAGGACTTGTGGATATGGAAGGCACAGATTCTCTATCGACTCCTCCAGACTTAAAGCAGGGAGGGGGTCCTTTTAAAATAGCAGAAAGTACGGTACCCTCGACCATTTCAGCACCTCATACTCTGTTTACCATTTGGGGCCGGGCGTTCAAGTGCAAAGGCCCTCTGGCATTGTCCAGAGGACTGGCCAAAGGGTCATTCAGAAATGGAAAGGTCCAGAAAAGATTAGTAAGATATATGGTGACTGGATTGATGACATCGAGTGAAAGAAGTCGTGTTTGCTGACTATTATCCGTTTATAAAGATAATCTTGTTATCGAGGCAGGTATATATAGGCATCAAAAGGAATTTGTGTTATTTTATATTGCTTTGAACTGCAATGGAGCCACACCTAATGTTGTTTTCGAGCTACAAATAAAACACCTGCTTGTTAGCATGTGTTGCTCTATGTATTCTACCATCCTTGTTTGGAAGAAAAGGAGCGAAAACGCGAAAATCTTTGTTGTAGTCCAGCCTCTTGAATTTAATTATGTGATATGCATTGCCTAGTGAAAGAATCTGTATAATGCTAGTGTAGAAGAAATGAGGCAAATCTTGTCCAATGCCCCAAATAACTGTATATTTTCCCCCTTTTCAGATTGCAGTAGTGTGATTTAGTCGTTCCTCGGATTTTGTGCATAGCAGGAGCTTTAGTGCACCAAACTATCCTTAGTATTTGGATCATTTTACATCCATTTTGCGTAATTCAATGGAACTATCTATTACAACAAGCACAAGTGCATGGTAAATATATTAACTAAGAAATGAACATGAGTTTATATCGTTCGTTTGGTAGGAGGGAAGAGGGATATTAATTCAAAATAAATTTTGGGATAGTTCATTCTATATTTGTTTGGAATAAATTACGGAATAACAATCATGAAATAACTTGTTCCCAAACCAAACGAGCCCATCATGTATGGGGTGTTTGACTGAATAAACGATTTTAAAAATGAGAAATACTTTTGAAAATTTTGATCTAAAACATAAATATTGGTACAAATATAAATCATCTCATTAATAATAAAATTTAAAAATTAAATTAAATTATTTTTAAATATAAAAATAAATTATATTTTTACAAATTAGAAAAAAATATTACTATAAATTGTAATAAAATAATTACTCTATATCTTAAATTAGTTATCATGTTTCGCTTCTTGTCTTAATCAAACGGTGCATTTGAAGCTGATGTGTGTGATTGCTACTTCAACAAGTTGTCATGGCAAGTTGGGTTTCTTGACGTAATTATGTGGGGCTTCTACTTTTTGTTATGTAAAAATTTCATTTTGGTTGCTTCATTTAAATAAAAATTGTTTTTTTTTATGAATATTCAGTATTAAATAATTTTAACAATTTCTTTTTCTTCTTCATATTTAGCTATATAGGATTGAAATTTTGCTCATTTTTAACAAGTGTTTCAATCATGTATGATTAAGCGTAGACATATATGAATGTTAAATGAATCTGTTAAATTTATTTGAATGTTGTTCTTTATGATACATGAAACTTATATTTTAATTTGAACTTATTTATAATGGATTTGAAATTCAAAAAAATAAAATTATTATTTTTAGCAAAAAAATTCCAACGCACATATTTAAAATTTGGAAAAAGGGACAAATATACCTTCGAACTATTGTAAATGGTATGCAGATACCCTTCGTCATATTTTTGGGACATTGGTGCCCCTGCCGTCCAAAAACTAGAGCATATATGTCATTCACTCTAACAGAAGACTAAATAGGGACACGTGGCACAATCTTATCATTCGATCCAAAATTTAATAAATGTCGGGTCAGTGGAAAAGATTATGACACGTATATATCCGTTAGTATAAAGGGTATATGTGCTCTAGTTTTTTGGACGGCGGGAGCACCAATGTCCCAAAAGTATGATAGAGGGTATCTGCATACCATTTACGATAGTTTGGGGTATATTTGTCCTTTTTCCCTTAAAATTTTAGGTAATTTTACCCCTACCCCCTTAACTCCCATTCTCACCACCCTAGACGGCCACACCCCTATCTCTTATTCCTAACTCTAACAATATTTAATTAAATTATATATAAATATTTTTAAAATAATATTTTAAATTTACATATTAAAAATATCCATTTATTTATAAAAATATATATCTTTCTTCCTAACGAAATGGGACACCATTCTTTGTGTAAGTAAGTGTTTGGCTATACAATATTACGATATGAAATTGTGAGATGGAATCAACATTTGAACATGTGATTTCATGCTTATTCCATCTGATGATTTCATATCATGAAATGAAATCCCATAATTTCTTAAAAGAATCATGATGTGAGATTTTTTAAATACAAAAATGACCCACAAGTTTATATTTTGTTAAAACAATCCCACATTTATATCTACTAACCATTTATTTCATATGTAAATAAAATTTATAACCACATCATTACTTTTTAAAATATATTATTCTCACCAACATAAAATTTATTATTACTTTAAATTTAGTAAATATAAATGATAAAGTAGGAATTGATTTGGTGAATATAAATAAGAACGGAGGGATGGTTTTTCATAATAAAAAAAAACTTTTGTTTCTGCTACATATATATGAAAATGTTTAAAACAATTTAATATGAAAAAGAAAAAAATAGGTGATGTATGTTTGATAATCACTACTTCAAATATGTTTGAATTTAGCACGAAATTAATGCACTAAAAATGTGTAATTGCACACAAGTGAAACAAGGCATGAACCATTATGATATTAACACACAAATGAAAATTGTCATAGCTTGTGCAGTGTTACATAATTATTTGCGAGAATACTAATCTTGAATATGCCCAATTATTGTGAATTACCCATCTTTAACGTGAGTTTAAGAACATTCACTAGTCTAATTGACATGTTTTAACTTATGATTGCGATGATTGCAAACTAATGTACATGATTAACTATTTTGCAGGGTTCCTAAAAGAAGTGATTGAGTAAGGAGAGCAAAGGAAGCAAGGATGACAAAGCGAAGCCCAGAAAAAGCTTGGCGCGAAGTGCCAGCCCCTGACCAACGTGCTGGGCGAAATTTGATTTAATTAGGATTCCTCCTTGGGCTAGAATTGAAAATTATTTTCCTAAACTCTATAAATAGGGACTCTAGGGTTATTTTTTGGGGGTTCAACTTCTTTTTGGTGTGCAAGAGCAAGGATTAACTCATTGTATTAGGTTTCAATTCTCTAACTCTCTCTTTAATTGCGAATCACATGAACAATACTATTTTGAATTTTTGAATATTATGAGTGGCTAAACGCCCTTATTCTGGGGTTGTAGCTACGAATGATTGTTGAGTATCAATGGTTTTTGAATTAATTTATGGTAGTTTTAAGTCACTTATGTGTTCTTATTTTAGTATTTCTTGACTGGTCGTCATCATAGAGATAAATATCTTTGAAAAAGTACAGGAGAAAGTGGAAAGGAATTATAAAAAAATTGAAAAAAATAATAAATTAATTTAATTTCCACATGTCAAACACGTGAAGTTCACAGTTCAAGATAGATGTGGTTGTGGCTTTTTAAGGGTGTAATTATTTCAATTTTAAACAGTCAGTGAGTGATAGGACTCCCGCAAAGTTAAAGTGTATAGTTGAAAATTCGGATATAGATTAGGGGATTTTTGGCCATTTTCTCAAACAAAGTTTAATGACTTTGCTAGAAAAATTCTCAAAATTGAGTGACCTTTTGAGATATAATCTCATACTTTCTATCAAAGCTTTAGGGGTTGTTTGGTGTGAAGGATAATACCAAATAATCCTGGGATTAAATTATAGTTACACTTAATTTGTTGTTTGGTTGGCAAGTTTGGGATAACTTGTCCCGGGATTAATAATTAATATCGGGATAAGTTATCTCTCCCCTTAGGTGGTATAGTAATTCCGTGACAACTTATTTCGGGATAAAATAAGTAAATGACAAAAATGTCTCTTTCAACCTTTTGTTATATAGCAACTTTCACATATAGCAAACACAAAATTCATATTTGTATGTTATAACAAACTTTGCATAATTGCGTTCCATAGCAAACATAAATATGTATATTTCGCTATACCTATACAAAAGAAAGCAGTTGTATAATATGTTTTGGTATACATATACAAAAAGATCAATTGTATAAAGTGAGAGAGGCGACTGAGCGAGCGAGATCTGGGAAAGTGGCGAGTGAGATCTGGGAGAGTGACGAGTGAGATCTAGGAGAGGGGAGAGAGGAGAACGAAAATATATGTATATATACAATTTTCACGCATTTTATACATTTGCGTTTTTGTATAAAGTGAGAGGGAAGTGAGAGAGCGAGATCTGGGAGAGTGGCGAGCGAGATCTAGGAGAGGGGAGAGAGAGGAACGAAAATTTATGTATATATACAATTTTCTCTCGCTTTATATAAACACAAACGCATTTTATACAATTTGCGGTTTTTGTATAAAGTGAGAGAGGCGAGTGAGAGAGCGAGATCTGGGAGAGGGGAACAAAAATATATGTATATATACAATTTTCTCTCGCTTTATACAAACACAAACGCACTTTATACACTTGCGTTTGTATAAAAAATGAGAGAGGCGAGGGAGAGAACGAGAGTGGCGAGCGAGATTCACCAGGAGAAAGGTTAAATAACAATAGTTTGCTATGGGGTACAATTAAATCAAACTATATTTATAGCATTTAATTTGAATTAATAGTTTGCTATTATATACAATTTTTCCTTTGTTATATCACTTTTTACATTCATGGAGGACATTTTTGTAAACAAATAAATTGTTCTTAAAATTTATTATTTTGAATACAACAAATCAAACACTCAATAAAAAATAATTTCATCATAACTAATCTATCATAATTAATCTCATCATAACTTAAATTCAAACCAAACGACCCCTTAGTGTATCAATTATCTTTATAGATTGTAGTAGTAAGGGGATCTCCAAAATCTACTTGTACGATTTAATCTTTTATATTATTAATATTTAAATAGGACTCGCTTCATATCTTTTCATTTGCTCCTATTTAACTGAATATATAGTTTTAAATACATAGTTTAAAAAAGAGAAAAATATATTATTATTTTTTAATCTAAAACGTAAATATTGGTACAAGTATCAATATGAGACACCAATCTTTAGTGTAACTGTTTTGCTTAATTTTAGAAAGCTACTCCTTCCGCTCACTTTTATTTATTTATCACTTCTTAATATATTTTAAAAATAAACTTTTTTCCTAATTTAGTTTTAGTGTTAGTTATTTATACTAAAATATTCATATTGATTACTCCCTTGGTTTCATATTAATTAAATTTTTTTTTAAAAAATTGTTGTTCAAATAATTGAATTGTTCAAAGTTCAATATGAACGTTTGAATTTTTTTTTCATATTTGTCTTTTCTTTTAATGAAGTTTGATATTTTGTAGTAGACAAATTGCATTACTTATATAGTTACCTTTATGATTTTACAAATGACAGTAGTGAAAAATATGATTTAAAATATATCCTTAAATATTTTTCCTAATAAGTGTGTATTCTCTCACAAATTCAGATACTATGGAAGCAAAATTTAAAGTGACGGGAGTAAAATAAATAAATAAAAGTAAAAAAAAAAAAAAAGCAAAGAAGGAATATATTGAGTTGTCCAATTTGATAAGCTCACTATCTTTTCACACACTTTTGAGGTTTGAAAAGCAATAATGGTGGGTGACAGAAAAAAATTAGCAAGGGGAGATGGATAGATAATGCAGTTGAAATATTTTATGAAATTATTTATATTAAAATCTTTGAATAAAATAATTTAGGAACTAAATAATACTAATCTTTAATAAATAATTTTATAAAATATTTTAAAATTATTATCCTCCACAAATACGCGAATTAAATTAATTATTCCACTTTAAAAAAATAATATTATACTTAATTTAATTTTAAGAATTAAATATGAGCTAAGTATTGAAAACACTCATAAGCTCGGCGTGAATTATTAGTTTCATCCCTGAACTATTGACAGCCTTACTTGACTAACTGAAATTAAATACACCCTTGATCTTATAAGTGAAATATACCATTAAATTCTCGCTAAGTTTAAAAATGTTTTCAACACTTATTTCATTTTTTTATTAAGAGACCTATGCTCCTTTAAGAGTTTGAAAGAGTCGATTACTTACTATGTCATGTGGTAGATTGAGAGAATATCTAAGTTAATCAAATATAAAAATAATTTTAAGACTTTCAATAATTTGAAAATGAAACTAATAATTTGTATCGAATTTTCAATACGAGAAGTTGAAAAAAGGCAGGGGAAAAAGTAAAAAGAGGCAAAAGAATAGGTGAGGTACTACTAAAAGTACAAAAGCCGTGCGAGTATGAATAACCAAAATATGACTGACACAATGATTTTTTTTTTGCCCATTCTTGGACAGCTGCCCCTCACAAGATGCGTTCTTTATAAAATAATAATGTGCTGAGCACATGTTTCAAAAAAGCAAATCTTCCAACTTTACATATGGTAGGTAGTGGGTGGATGTAGCGGGCAAAATCGAATTGAAAATTATCATGCTAAATTAAATAGTAAGTTTAATATCTATTTTTATCATTTTAATTATCGAGTTATTAAAATTGATTTTTAAAATATTCTCTCTATCTTTCACTAAGTGAATTTTTATGATTTTTTTCATCGGTCAAAGTAATTTAACTTTTCAAAGTTCAATTTTTTTTTTTTTATATTTGTCTTTTTCTTTAATAAAGTACTATTTACAAAATTGTACTTATGATTATATGGGAGAGGGAGAATTAAGTTTGCGAATCGAGCGCTTACCTCTAATGATGGGGTATTTAATCAAACTTTAACAAATATTGTTGGTTTTATTGGATATTATCGAAGGGACATAAATTTTATTTTGATCTATGTAATATTTGATTTAACAATTAATTACTACCTTCTATTTAGTTTTACTTGTCATGTTAAGTTTCTCATTAGTCAAATTACACGATCTTTGAATAATATTATAAAATATATTTTCAACATATTAATATGAAAAAATCAAGTTATAATTATTTTAGTATAGTTTTTAAACATCTACATTTGAAATATTGAATTTAATCTAATTTAATTAAGTTTTAAGAATTAGCCAAATTAATTCTCGTAAAACGAAATGAGTCAAATAAAAGTGAAAGAAAGGAATAACTAATATGTGCAAATTAAATCATCTTTTAAAAACAATTTAGGACTTAAATGTTAAATTTGTATTATTATAATATATTTTAGAAAAAAAAATGAAGGTTGATATACTAAGCCCTTGCTATGTGCGTGTCTCGTAGAAGGATTGAACTATAAAGATCTAGTACACGTAATTTTATCATGTATTTTTGCACGTGGGAGTATAGTTTTAAAATGATTTAAATATAATATATTTCTTATGTAAAAAGATTAAAAATGCACATTTTAATTAGTTTAAATTTTAATATATTCAACGAAATATCACAAAAATTAAAATAAAATTTGATCGGAATAAAAGTTAGACAAGAGTAAATGAAGGTCCGATCAACTAGTTAAAGAATCAATCAGTAAAGTTGTAATAAGGGGTTTGATTCTACTCGCATTCAAAATTAATTGGTCTTTTCAAAATCGACTGAATCAAAAGCGCGATAATTCAAACCTACAAAAACATTTTAATAAAAGTTAACTTTTGTAACTTACTTGGATTTTTCCTAAATCGAATTGTTTATTAAGATCCTGAAAATCTGTAAAATCAGATGAATAATTAAGATTTAAAGATGTGAACATGAATAATTTGTCTATTTTACCTGAATTTTAGCCATTAAAAATCTCCGAATTCCAAGGTCCAAAAACACATAGGGAAAATCAATCTTAAAAAAAAAAAAAAACTAGGTCCTTATCATATTTTTTATTATTCGTTAACTCCTAGTATATCACATTGTGCGATGATTAATAAATACTTTGGGGTAAGAGTTAAATTTGAATTCGTGTGTTTTAAGGTTTATTTATGTATTCAAGAATGTGATTTAGTGGTCAGTAAGATTGATACGGTATAACTACGAAAATGACATATTTTATGTGATTAAGTTAACTATTTAATGAAAATATAATTAATATGTTCTTTAAAATTTGAATCAAAAGTATCTAATTAAAATACTTTATTAATAATTGAGGTGTGTTCAATTAAAACAAAATTTAATTCAAGTATCTAAAGTAAATATCATGACAAACTTAAGCCTAAACTTGCTACATATATTTAAGCGTCAAAATATATAAATATGCACTTTAACTTAATTTTATTTGATATTTATGACCTTAAATTTTGGATATACACAAATAAATATTTAAACTTATATAAAACTGAACAAGTAACACTCGTCACATGCATCACATATGAAATACTTCATCCATTCCTTTTTAATTGTCATGTTGTGTTTTTTGACATCAATTTGACTAATTTTCAAAGTTAAATTAGATTACATTAACTCAATATTTTAAAATAAAATTTCATATATTCAAAAACTATGTAGAAATATGATGAAAAATACTTTTAAAAAGAAAACCATGACAACCAAAAAATAATCGTGGAGTATAAATAATACATAAAATTATTGTAGATAAATAAATAAATAATTGATGGTGTAGAATTTGATATTGTTAGGACTCTTCTCCACCCTCAAAATTTTCAATTCCCCATTGTTTCTCTCACAACCATCCAATTTTTTTTTCTTTTTTTATGAATATTGGATGGTGGTGGTCACTACTCACTATAGATGGTCAAAATTTCATAGTTCCCATTTATTTTTTTCTTTTATTATCTTCACATATTAATTAATTTTTTTTTATTTTTTTTAACTTTTAGTGGGCCCCTTTCCTCTGCTCTTTTTATTCTCCAAAACCAAACAACTCTTCTCCTCAATTTCCTCTTCATCTTCTTCTTCCTCTGTTTTTTTTTTGGCTTTCAATTTTCAATTTTTGATATTTCTCTGAACTTTTAGTAACAATGGTGACTGAAGGTACAGAGAAACCCACCATTATTTTCACCTATGGAACACTCAAAAGAGGATTTTCAAATCACGTTCTCTTACAAGACATGATAGCCGCCGGCGATGCTTCTTTCCTCGGCGTTTACCAAACCGTCGATCGTCTCCCCCTCGTCTGCGGTCCTTACCGTGTTCCCTTCCTCCTCAATTTCCCCGGCTCCGGCGAACACGTCCGCGGCGAGCTTTACGCCGTTTCCGCTCGCGGATTGATCCGTATGGATGAATTAGAAGGAATTACCCGGGCCCATTACGAGAGGCTGCCAATCAAAATCCGGGCCGATGAAGAATCAGAATCAGAATCGGGGAAGACAATGGAGGTGGAAGCGTATTATGCACACAGAAACTACGCGGAGGCGCTGTGGAAGAGAAACGGAGAGAAGGGTTTCAGATGTTATACAGAGAAAGAGGCAAAAGGGTATGTGAAGCGTAAAGATAGGCCACAACATTTAACATTTTTGGAACAAATTGGGATTTTCATTTCTTCTAACCCTAATTCTTGTTGTTGCAACAAAAATCTTCCTGTTCCTTCTCCTCCTCTTCCAGTCAATGTTGTTAACCATTGAAAATTTGGGTTTGATTTTTGAAGTTTCATGATTAATTAGGAAGAAATTATGATTAATTAAGGGTTAATATGTTTGTGTTAATGATCTGATGCTGAAAATAAGTTTGTTATTATTAGATCATAGATGTTGATGCTGAATGTTTGACAGATTTGTTTTCTGTCTTTCTGCAAAATTGCAAAAGCAAATGATTTGATCTGATTTGTAATTATTGACTACATTTGCTGCATATGAAACTACAATTTTTATGTATATGGATTTGGTGTTATGCTAGGAATTATATACCTCTATCGGTTTGATTCGGTTTCATGTAACATATCAATAAGATAAATGCTCATAAAATAAATACTATGATTTCTCACTTCTCTAATAATTTGACACGATACAGTGATACAAGCAAATCAACTTTAAATGCTTTAATATAATGGAACAAGAAATATAATGAGAAATTACATCAATAAGAGTAGATATAGTATGAAGGCTACAATAACATGTTATATTGATATAGTGTCTAGTTATGTTAAATTATTAATATTTAATATTTATGAAGGATATAGTAGTAACTTACTATCGTTTTAATGAGTTATCGATTTACCCAATATTAAAAGTTGATATCGATTCATAACCCAATATATTTTTTTTATAAAACCATTAAAAATCCATTAACCCAATAACCTTAATAGCAATGACCCAATAACAGTTTTTCAGTTTGATTTTTGCACACCTCTAGCTCAGATATGTATTTTATTTGGAAAAAGTTTAAAGTTGTGAAATTTCTGAGTTTTTTCAGATTAGTTTTTTTGGAACGTGAAAATATTTGAAGACCAAATTTAGTCAAATTTAATGGTTAAACATTTATTTATAGATAGATCTTCAAAATTTATGGCTAAATGTTAGTTCCATAAATATCTCTATGAATGAGAAGCTGAAATAACTTTAAATGTGAGTGAAAGTAAAATTGTTTTGAAAATACTCATTTTTAGGAACTTGAAAATATTTAAAAATTATAATTTTATAATCCGGTCAAATTTTATGATCTATCTATAACTTAATCTTTCTTTGAATGAGAAGGTAAAATAGTTCCAAATAATATTGGATCTAATACACTATTTAAGGTCCACAATGTTGGAATTAAATCTATCCATTAATCAGAAATTAATCATGTTGCTCTGTCCAAATTTCTATAATTCATTGTTATACAACCAAATAGTGCTGCTAGAATGTCTCAAACTTCTTATGGTACTTTTTCGATGATTTTAAAGTAGGTGTCAAGCTAATAAAAAAAAATAGCAAACTTATTCTAAACCGTAAAAAGACAATAAAAATTCTGAAAATATTTGTTCTATAATTGATTCATTAGAAGTCATCAAACACGTGGTGGAGAGCTTTTACCTTTTAGTGAGCTTTCTCGGGGGTTAAATTCAAATTAATAGGATCAAATAAATATTGAATCCAAATTTATCAAAGTTAAATTAGTATTGAATTCGAATTAGTCAAGTTAATTGGTATTGAATTCAAATTAGTCTAGTAATTAGTATTGAATCCAAATTAGTAGGAGTAACTCAAGTAAGTTTCGAATGTTGAATGATTAAAACAAATCATTACATTATATTTGGCTCTGTAAACCTAGTTTTAACTCTCTTTATTGAAGTTTGAAATCTGTCATTTTTTAATGTTTGTATCTTATATTGATATTTATCGAAAATAACTTCTCTATCATTATAGGTAAGAATAAGACAATATATATATATATCAGTTTTTTTTTAAACCCAATTTATCGAATTACCTAAATATATTATTGATGATGTATCTTAATTTGATGTGGGAAATTAACACTCGAGTGACTCTTAAACCCTCTCAAGAGACAATTAATAATCAAATATACAAAAATGCTAAACCTTCATTACCTTAACCTTATATATTTTTGTTGTTTACTGACAATGATTATTTTTTTGTGAGTCAATCACTATTCTTTAAGTAAATAATTAGTGTGTAATTAATTCTCATTATGAGATGATGCAAATCTATAATATAACATTTATTCTTAATCACGGCTACCTACTTAAAATTAAAAATTAGTAGTGAGACTTTTATTCTGTCCCCTGCCTAATAAAAACCTCTAAGTCTATGTTTGACATAATTAATATAACACTTGGTTTCGATTTTATTTAAGGAGAAGGGACAAAGTCATAGCTACAAAACTATTAATTGAATGATTAGACTGATACTCTAATCGAGAACAATATTATCAAATAAAAGTGGCAAATATCACACGAAAAACAAACTTATATGCCATAGTTTGTTTGAGAATCATTAATATCACAGACTAATATAAAATTTATATTCTTATAACGATCTCAATAATCACAATTATATCTAATAAATTTCTTAACATACCTAAAATTTATTAAATTGACGTGAATTTATAGAGTACAAGCTAGATTCGCCTAATAACAGAATAATGACATGTTAGCGTGCACAAGAGGGGACAAATTATATGGTGTTGCATCACACACAGTGTAACAGATTCAAGAAGAATTAAATTGTTGCAAAAGGTCAAATTAATATATTTGTTAGATGCTTTTCAGTTTAGGCTTGACTCTTAACTGATAATGACATTTTTGGTATCTATATATATGTTATTGTTAGTAATATTAAAAAAAATAAAGAATACTTAATTTGGTTTAAATTAAAATAAACACAGAAAAAATAATACAATGATGTCATGCATGGGTGCAATCCACGCAATCAAGAACAATAACAACAACAATAATAATGTCTTGTTATAAAGTAAATTGAGATTAATTATATGAATCATCATTGACAATATTGCTAGCGATGTTTGAAGTAAGAACTATTTTCATTTGTTAAATACCCCAACTTATCCCTTTATAGGTTGATGCCTTGAAAATGTAAAAGGGATAAAGTAATTAAAGAACAAAAGATGATAAATAGCTATAATTTATAGCTTAATTACGAAATACAGTTTTAATTTCTGTATTTACGAAATATAGCAATAATTATTATATCAAGCAAATGAATTGTATCAATTGTATTAGCAAAAAAGTTGTATTAAAACAAATATCAATTGTATTAGTTGAAATCACGCAAAATAGTTGTACCAAAACATATTGTATTAATATGTATGTCTATTATGTATTTGCTACAAAATCCAAAATGCAGCTACGTTTTTAAAATTATAGCGCTATGTATCGTAAATACAATATTGGGTCAAATTTTGCAACTACTTTTTTTTTTTCACCAACTATCGAATTTATAATTAAAAAAAAGGGTAGCCCAAGTTAATATACTAAGGGAGGGGAGTTTGTTACTTAAGCTAGTAAATTAGACATTAATTAAGTCATCCTAACTTAAAGTAATAAAATTGCATAAAACACTCAAAAGTTTGGTCAGCAATGTCTGTAAAATGGCAACTTAATAAAAGAGCAAAGGATATGTACGGTACGTTATCTCTATTTTTGGAATCTCTTGTCCTATTTACCAAGCTGATGTGTACACTAATTTGTAACAAGAATCAGTTTTGTGTTCAGACTAGCTTGTGCGTTATATGAAATTTGAGTTTTAACTTTAATATGTGTACGTATTTAATAGAAAAATTTGATATAAATAGATAAACTATTTGAACAAAAGTTACTGAATTCGATCAAACTCATAACGACAATCTGCCAGACTTCTACCTCAGCTCTTGTGCACACATCGACTATTTTATTGATCTACTACCTTCTATCATGCAATATAAGTTTGATTATTTGATATGGAGGAAATCTGAATCTAACTGCTATCTTCCAAAAATAGCATTACTGTATATCCTAATAAAGTAGAAGCAAATTGGCTTTGGCGGCTGATTTTAATTAAAAGCAAATGTTTGAATAAAATATTATATTGAGTTTGACAGAGTAATAGTTTATAGCATAACTGAATGGAAATTTGAAAAATTAAGATAGTTGGTAAGATGTAAGATCAAGTTTGAAATTATATTAAGCTATCACACATGCGTTTGGTAGGATGGAAAATGTTTTTTCAAAAAATAAAGTTATTTATTTATTAAATGGTAAGTAAACAAAAAATATTACCGTAAAAACATTTATATATAATTTAGAAAAAAATGAGCGTGAAGATGGTGAAGGGGGGTGCTAGGGGTGGGGGTGGGGAGTTTAGGGATGGGGTGGGGGAGAGACATTAGAAGAGGTCTATAAGTTATGTTATCAAATTATCAATGCTTACATATTCATTATTTGAGTCTCCAACAATTATTTCAATAACTACATATTCAATTTGACCTATGGACGAATAATAACATTGAGATTTCTCAATATATTGCTACAAATAGCTAAGATTTCCATAAGAAAATGTCATTCATTTAATGAGAAGTACAACATCAATAACAACATACCCAATATAGTTCCACAAAGTAGGATCTAAGAAGTATAAAGTGTACGCAGCCTTTACCTTAGAGGTGAGGTAATCGAAAATTCGAGTGACTGAAGCTAACACAACTCCTTTCGAAGAAGTAACATATACTATTAAAGACTGCATTTTATCTGTGACTCTTGAGGAAAGAAGAATAAAGATGAGACTTTCTATATACTAAAAAGTAGTAGCTTCTGACATCAATTTTTGTTAATATGTCAACTTCTGTGAGATTCAATCTTCAATATTACATGTGAATTGATACAACCTTGTTTCAGAACCTACATTTTACAAGAGATCTCAGTAAAGACCAAAATCATGATCACTGTAAAAATTGTCTGAGTTGCATAGACATATTTGGTACAGATATCCTGTTCAGTTAACATACAACATGGTTGCTCTGGATAACCTTCGAGCGAGATGATGAATGTTCAAGTTTAGGACATGAATCTCATTGATAACAGAAGGTTACTACCATTAACATCTGGGAGGGGTAAGGAGGGTACCATAGGAAAGACGATGAATGTGAAGACGAGAAAAAAGATGACCACCAACTTTCATTTGTCCGTCAACTTGTTAAATTCTGTTAATTGCTCTGACCTGCATGGTTAATTCACTGTTAAGAGTGTAGACATGAAAGTACTAAAGGAATCGATTCTCAATTCATTTTAATTGATTAACAAGTCAACAGCAAAGTTGCCGTTTGATATGCTACATCATAAATCAATACTAAATTTAGGTTTTATTACATATGCAGAACATTGCTCGATTATCTCATATTTCTAAATGTGGTGCAGCAAACACACAAGTTATCTTTTTGGAAATCCAAGAAGTAAGCAACTTTTATCCAAACAAAAGAGCATCAGAAGTCGGTCAAATGCTTAAGTTTTTGATGAAGTCGTCATGGATAACTCGTTTCAAGTATCTATTTTGGAATGCTATTACTATGCTAAAGACCACCAAGGAGAGAATGCAGTCTATCTATATGGATGACTTTTCCACGGAGCTAACAACTCTGTTTCACGTATATAAACACTTCCCATTCATTAAAAAAAATACATAGGAAGACGAGGAAGAATTTGTCTGAAAATGTGTGTGTGAGTTGTTACACCCTCGGAAGTTTCACCAAATCTATCAGAGAATTTTAGGATATACCGGAACACCTCAACACATAATGAAAATTGGAAAGCAGCATAACAAGATAATAAATTAGGAGAACTGCTAAATTTCACACTAACGAAATTCATCAAATACCCCTCCTCCAGTCCCCCAAGGAAAATGGTAATATTGCTTCTTTATAAGGAGAGAACAAAATTATCACAGTATAAATAAGTGCTGTCCTTCAAAAATCTGTCCAAGTTTCTTTTCCTTCTGGGTCAGCAGATTGTTTAGAGCCAATTGATTAATTCAATTAAGTAATCTGAACTAAACACTCACCAGACTGAATCCTGACTCATACCAAGCCCATTACAGGTAAGAATCATCCCTTTGAATCTGGCTAGATATTCCTGTTTTTGAACACCAAGTAGTCAGAATGCAGAGTCAAGCATCAGAATTCAAACAAAGGAATTTAACATGATGGAAGTGTGGAGGTCCTTACTGGCAAGGTATAATTATTTATCTCATAGTTTCCATTTAGATCATAGTCAAGTCTCTTATCAGGATCACTTAACACTGCAATGGATGTAAATTGGTAGCTATTAGTGACTGCATAATGTAAGCGGTGGATAATCTCCCATTAACTATACATTGTTATGCTCCACATAGGGGTCCAGGATAGTTTCTGTCTAAATTTTAAAAAAACATTGTGCAACAAGCATAAAGAAAAGGATGTAGACATCCAAACTAGCGAGTTTCTAATTTTGAAATAGAACGCAGATAGATTTCAGGATCAGAACTCAATATAAAGATTGATGGACAATGAAAAATTTGTAGGGAGAATTTGATGTTGGCAATACATTCCATATAAAGCTACTTCAAGCAAACAACATACAAACCATTTTTTCTCCCAACATTTAAGTGAAATAAGACATCACATGGTGTCAAACTGTCAATGGTAAAAATATCGAGAGATCAAATTAAGTTCTAGCTAAATCATACAGGACAAGTAGCAATAATCAGCATCACGTGGCAAGGGGATATATGAAGTTATTATGCCCAAAATTAAAATAACTACCCGAATAAGCTTCATTAATCTCTTGAAATTTAGTGGTTGCTGCATCATTACACTTGTGTTTGTCAGGATGCCACTTCTGCGCATTTCAATCAACGTGAATGATATGACTGCAGTCAGGAACACGCTCCCTTAAATAAATGCGAGCTTGCACAAAGAGAGAGGACGAGACATAGAGAGAACTCAAAAATAAAGGAGCTGTAGCAGGTGCTGCTCGATGAAATATGGATGACTAACCAGTGCAAGTTTCCTATAGTTTAATCTGATCTTCTCATCTGATGCATCATATTCTACTTCAAGAACCTTGTAATAATCCTTAAAACAAGCAAAATAACATATATCAGAAGATCATCAAGTAAAATTAGGAAAACATATGACAATCTATAATCCTTTACAGCTAAAAGAAAGTATTAGAAGGAAAATAATTTCATTACGACAGAAAACATATGTTAGTTCCTATATGCCAGTCATATTAAGGATGAACAAGAAAACCCTGACGCTACTCAAATCTTAGCCAGCAATAGAACTGGCAATGATTCTTTAGAGGAAATCTTATCATATTAATACTACCATACATTTCCTTTTTGGTTAAGAGTAAGAATGCAGGCGCAAAGCCAGAAATTTATATAATAGGATTCAGAAAACACTAGAATGTCATAGCTCTGTAGCGACCCTAAAAATAGATAGGTGAAACTAGAGCCTAACGTATGAATTTTTAAAGTTTAAGCATAAATTGGAAGTAGTCACTTTTGGAAAAAAAAAGTTCAAAATCTGGAAATTCGGCCAAGTGTGGAAATCAGTGAGTTTTTGGCCAACTTTGAGCAGTCATAACTCCTAGATCAGGATGATCCAGGAGTATTTCCAGTTATGTTTGGAAAGCCCTTGGAACGATCTTTCCAACGCCACCGAGTTTGCTCGATTCCGAGTTCGTATGAGCGAGTTATGCCCTTTGAAAGTTGGGCAGTTGGCAAGGAGTCCGTCCGAAAATTTAAGGGGCATTTTCGTAAATATTAATTTTAGTTAAATTAAAAAGTGGGTATATTTTATATTATTTCTAATTTCTATATATGGTATTAAAACTTTTAAAAAGGTGTTGTTTTAATTCATTCTTCAAAAAAAAAGGAAGGGTTCTCTTAAGAACACCATTGAAGGCCAAGGTCAAGTTGGAGCTAGGGTTTCGAATTGAAGGTTTCTTGCATCAAATTTTCGTGGGTTTTCTCAATACTAAGGTATGGTGGCTCTTTATCTAAAGCTAGTTTTCGCTTTAGAACCAATTTCAAAGGGTTTTCAAATTCTCAAAAGTTATGAAAAACTTCTATTTCTTACTCTACTCAAGGGTTCTTGCATTAAATGGTTTTAAATGATGGATTGTGATATTGTTGATATTAAATTGATGTTTTCAAGTGAAAAATCTCATGAACCCTTGATTTCACAAATTTCTATATTTGACTTACGAAATGGGTTTGTTAATAATGATTGGGTATTGATGAATTTATGCTTAGAATAGATTGTATTGTTGATGTTTATGATTTTCTATATCTATTGATTAATGTTGAGGATGGTAAGTTGGCTTAATCTCATATTATTGATATAATTGTTCTTGCTTGGTTTGATCCACTTATGGTGGAGGTGTTTAATTATGGATCGTATTATGAATATGGCCTTGAAGGCATTATCTATTGAATTAAAGTGTTATCAAGTTATGAAGTGTTATAGTACTATGTGAAGGTAAATATGTGAAGGTATTCTTATGGTTATAAGGTGATTTTGTAGAAAGTGTTATTGTATTGTTACATTATTATATATGAATGAGGCTATATGTAAAGTCCTATATGAAGCTATATGTAAAGTTTTATGTGAAGCTTTATGGGTGAATGTATGATGTGAATGAGTTTATGTGATCTTGTGATGATCCTATGTAAAGTGAATAGCATTGTGATTTAAAGTATGATTTTTCTCATGATGTATATATATGAAATGATGTTGGATTATGAAGTATCCTTGAATGAAAATGTTGTGACTTGGTTGGTAGACTAAAGTGTCCCTCCTTGTTACTTAAAGTCTTGAATGCATGAATGTATGAAGTGGGCTAGAACTAAGAAATGGTGCCCTTTTCTATAAATGCTAAAAGAGGAATTCTAGGCCAAGACTTGAATCGGCAAAACTAAGAAATGGTGCCCTTTCATAAGTCTAGCTTTCCTAAGTAAATGTATAACCTTGAAGGATGGGCCTTAGGGCGAAGTTCCCTTCTTGAGTGAGATGATAGACTTAGAGATGGATGGAGCCGGAACGGCATGAAAATCCTTATCTAAGAAAGTCAAATGAGCTATCCTTATGAACCTTGATTGGCCATAACTAAGAAATGGGGCCTTTCTTGGGAAGAGGTACTATGAGTTGGTTGAACTAGAAAAGGAACCCTCTCTAGTACATATGTGAATGAAAATACTCTATGGGAAACAAGGCTAGCACCGAGTGGATGTGGTTAGGATGGTGGCCCTACTTGAGTATGAGACTAGGGCACAATGAACATCCTTGGACATCCCCTAAACCATGTGCCTACATGGGTTGCTTACTAGTTCTACCTTTGGCAAGTAGAACACCTTCCACGGAGTAGGGTAGACTCCGGATTCCATGCCTAGCTAGTATGGTCTATGTCGGTTATGCCTATTCCCATCATGTGGGATGCGCACTCTAGTTATTGGATAGGTTCTACAACGTGTAGGTAGTAGTATGGGATGCTATCTACACATGGCACGAGTAGGCTTTGAAGATACTAAAGTGAGTTCCCTAAGTCTAACGACTATTATGTGAAAGTCCCCTTATGTGCTTGAATGTCTCCAAAAATGGTTTCTTAAAGAATGTTGGTCTATTGATGTTATGTTGTAAAGGAAATGTCCTTATCTAAGGTAATCTTGAGGAACACTTAAGTGTGCTTGAAGAGGTTGTATGGGCGGTCACTTCTTGTCTTACTCAAGTGTGTCTTAAGGTTATATTAGGTAGAGGTCCTATGGTAATGAAATGACATGTGTTCCTTTAAAGTTAAGCATGAGTTGTATATGAATATATGTTGGGTATGTATACGGTTGGCTATGGTTTTATATGTGAACATTGATTTAGTATGTTATATTGTAATGGTACATTCCTTATCTATGGTAACCCTTAGGAACACTTAGGTGTATATAAAGAGATTGTATGGGCGGTCACTTTATGTTTCACATAAGTGTGGCTTTGGGTAACTTGAGATAGAGGTCATGAAATGATGAAAAGGCTTACTTGTCAATTATATTCATGTATTGTACATTGGTACTAGTTGAGTATGTCTATTATGTGGGTATTGTCTTATATGTGGATGATGATTTGAAATGTGTCTCTTATAATTGTGATATGAAGGTTTTATCAAAAATGGCATGAAAGCACATATTTCAAATAAATGTCCTTTTTAGCATGTTTTTGCATGGTCATCATACTTAGTACTTAATTGTGCTAATTCCATATTTTCTCTATTTTCTACAAGTGTAGGTTCCGGCAAGTGAGCGGGTTTTGTAGTAAACTTGGGATTTGAAGTTCTTCCTAGATTTTGTGGTATGTCCTCATATGTCGAGGGCAAGACTTTTCTATTTTAGTTTTATGATAAGATTCTTGTAATAGACTTAATAGACTTCTTTTGATTGTAAAGGGTCGTGTCCCTAGTATGTTTTCACGTTTATGTCTAAGATGGCTAAGAGACTTAGTATTCCGCTTGTGTACTTTTGAATGATGTTTTTAAAAGTGACCTTTGAGTCTTATGGGATTTTATTTAAAGAGTTTTTAATTCCGCACTATTTTTCATAGCTAATGTGATGAATGCTAAGGGCTTGTATGAGACCTCCGAGAGGTCGAATACGCATGTTACGACTTGGGGGTGCTCTCGGGTCGTGACAAACTCAGATTTGAACTTGCTACTTAAACAACTTTTGAACCCCCTTTACCTACATTAGATTTTTCTTATATGGCAGGGGGTTCAACTATATATAACCAAAAAAAAAAAAAGTAATCAGTTTTACCCTATTGCACAGTGTAATTTTTCATCAAACAGGATTCAATTGAACCCCCTTTCCTCTTACTAGCTCCACCTCTGGATGTGGGAGAGTTATTAACCTTTTTCCAAGTTCCTTGACAAGATCATTGTATATAACACCAATGGTAGATTGTAATAAAATGAGTAGAGCAAACCCGAAAATATTCAACAAAGAGAAAACTTAAAACTGAAAAATATAGAGCCTTCTCCAATGAGAACACTGGTTTCTTGTTTAAAGCATTTTGTTGCTTCTTTTTCCGCAGTGGTCTGAAGGAAATGGATCAGTTCTAAAATGATGGAAAATAATTTACTTATTCATGAATCTCAATACATCCCTGGATGAACTTTTACAATTCTCTACACACGAAAATAGCTAGCAACACCCTCTATTTATAATAGTATCAAACCTACTTTGACTAGAAACTGGAAAACATTTTCTTATATCAATTAGGCTACAAATCCTATATAGACCTAAATTGAATAAATTAGCAAGTACCAAGTCCTAAACAACTTGGGTTTGCAACTTTATTAACAATAAATAATTCTGAAGCAATTTCTTGATTGTGGTCTTAGAAAAATGAACTGGTGCAAACTACTATGAACCTAGAGAAATTTTGCTCAATAATAGAGAAAACCCAAGAAAGAAAAATATGAATCAAACACAAATGAAAAAGAAAAAGGAAAACGAAATTGAAGAAGAAGATTACCTTGTATTTGTAGGTGGTTTTATTATCATCCTCCATATGGCTGCCAAAATTAGTTCTTCACTGCTACTACAGTATAATGCTTATAGACATCTAACAGGAGATATTGCAAAACATTTTTCACATAAAAAAAGAGGACAAAATGCAAATGCCTCAATTATCTTTTTTGAGTATCTGAGATTTTCACCCCATGAAAAACATGGTTGAAATTTGAAGGCCTCTAAGAAGGAAAAAAAAAAAGAGAAACAGACAAACTGATGACAGAGACACACAATTAAGAGGAGAATTCACTTTTTTTTCCTCCTTAAAGTTATTAACTTTATGATAATTCTCTCTTAAATTTTGTTACTAGAATTCAATCAAATTGATAGGAAGACTAGGGCAAATTAGGGCTCCTAAGAGTTGAAAGATCAAGAATTATACCTCTGAACACAGTATCCTAAAGATAGTGAATGCCTGCTCTTAGAGAGAGAAAGAAATTCAATTTCAATTTTTTTTTTCTTCTCAATTTACAATCCCTAATTTTCCTATTTCAGTTTGGATAGTAACAAAATAGTCTAGCAAAGAACTGTCCTTTATGGATAGGAATGGGGGGAGTCAGCCTCAGCTCCTATAATAATTTTTGATAGAAAACGTTTTATCCTTAAATTAGTCTGAGTCTTGACACGAATGATACCTATAAAAGTGTTTTATAACTTTGATTAGTCGAGCATCAACAAGGGTGAGGCAGAAACAATATGATTATTGATAAATTTAGAAGTTTTTTGCCTCAATTTATCCTTTTTTATATTTTTAAAATTCCTTTCTCAAATCGAATAATCTTTTAACTTCAAAGTTTTAATCAATGTGATATTTATCATAATAACATTACTAGTCGAACATTTTTTTTCTAGTTCTTGAAAATTGGACTACAAAATTTTTGACTCGTGATATGTAATGGTCCACAATGCAGGGGATCATTATGGTCCCAAATCACATAAATATTTTGGCTATTTATGTGTTAATGTCAAATACAACCAAATCCCTCATCATTGGCTTTGAAGGGCAACACCCAAAGGCTGTAACCTCCACGAATACTTTTGGACATCAAATATCTTTTTTTGATTTAGATATTTGATTTTAGAACACACATTGAAGTCCAATCAAATTCCAATTCGCGCCGGGAAGTACCCACATGAGGTAAAAGCTCCCTGACAGCTTGGACATCAAATATCAATTCAACATTTCAAGTACTGAAATATTTACTTCTGGACACCAAAATGCTATTTCAACATTTTAAATACTGAACTTCAATATCTGCAAATGCTGCTTGAAGAATTAAAATTCAAATTCGAGGACTATTCAAGTGAATAACTAGTTTTCACTCATAAGTCTTAGACTTCCTGGAAATCATATTTTTGTTCTTTTTTTCTTTAAAGTTCCATGATGAAACATCTCCAAAAGATTCAGAAGACAATAAAATAACTGGTAAGACTAGAAACTTTATGATCCTTATACTGTTTCAATATCCCCAAATTTCCTCCTTTTGTGTAGAGTCCTATGATTGATCATAAAGAGGAACAAGACCAGTTCTCTCACATAGTAGCTTCTTCTGCATCACTCTCAACAGGCACTGAAGGCATTTTGTTTCCACCTCTCAACCCTGAAGATACTTTGTCAATGGCGCTGTTCAGTTGATCTAGCTTATTGTTCAAAGTTTGCCTAGTTTTCTGCATACAACAAGTGATAGAACAAAATTTATAAGCCTACCAGCCAGGTAGTAGAAAAGTGTTAAGCTGATACAGAACTTTAAAGCAAGAAAATCATTATCACCTCTAAACCTTCATCGTAATAGTACATTGGTCGCTTGGCTTTCCGGAAACCATATTCATCTTCATTGAGCAATGACCTCCGTATCTAATGACAGATGGCAGTGAAAAAATAACAGAAAACTATGTTAGCAAACAAAATCCTAAAACACTTGAGGGAAACCCACCAATATTAATTTCATACAGTTGCATCTTTAAGGTGATAAAGAAAGTGTGATGAGAGATGAACAAGCATTAATCATATATATAATAGTATAATACTATGTATGTAAGCCATAATCCATTCAGAAAACTCATTTCCAAATAAGTTGTTTAGTAAAGTTGAAAATTAGCTTTCCAAATAGAGTAAACTAAGTTCCAAAACCCAATATTGTATCAACAAAATAGTAGCTTTAACTCGAGAACTCTTTGAATTAGCAAGAATTTCTTTACTGAATAGGAAATAAGTTGGTCTTGAGAATATTGGTACCCATTACAGAAAGCTGCTTCATTATGGAAAAAAAAAACACAGGGATCATCCTAGTATGGGCCCACACATACTCAGCAGGAATTCTTTGACCCCGAGAGTAAGAAAAAGTAGGCAACAATGTTTACCATACCTAAAAAGCAAATCAGTGTTGTGGAATCAGAAATCAAGTTGATACCAAGAGACAATACCAAAATTACCTGTGGAGCAAAAATATAGCCAAGTGTTCCAAATATTGCACCTCCTAAAAGGAAACCGGCAACAAAATCACCACCATGGCCACCTCCACCTCTTTGATCACTGCATTCAACAGGCAAAATTGAACATACCAGTTGAGCACACATGGACAGATCAGTGAAAACAACTTCAGAATTGTAATCCTTTCATATGATTGGATAACTAATTAAAACGCATGGAGGAAAATGACTCAGCAATATCATATGCTGAAAGGAGCCACATTCAGCAAGTGTACCCTCACTTACCAAGTTAGACAGGAAACATCATATTAATTTCATATCCGGGATCATAAAACCTTCACAATTTAATAGGCTACAAATAATTTAGAAGAACTACAAATAAAATTAAGGATAGGGATGAAACAACTTCCTCTAATTCAACTGAGAATAAGTAGAAACTTGATACTTACCAACAAAAAGAAAGTGAGAAAGCTTCTAAATTTAATAGAGCCCAGCAACAAGAGTGACATCCTTGGTGTCTCCTAATTTCTAAAGCCGAAATTACCTTCAAGCTTTCCTCACTTAACAAAAGTCACGGGGCATAAATTTGGAGAATCCTACTCAAAAGACGAGTTGAAGTTCAGCCACCAACAGAAGTTTCACAATCATCAGCTTCTTCCTACCGCACTCTGTCTCACATTGCACTTTCAAGAGCTCTTATTTCTCCCAATGCATCGGTCATCATACTCTATGATATTACATATAATGCAAATGAATCTAGTGTTCCCTCTTTGGTAGTTAATATAAAAATGAGAGCACCCGGGAAATGCCTCTGTTGAAGAAAATGACCGACACTTGCAGTAGCCCAACGATTATGGCGAAATCACTTTGATGGACACATATATTAAATATCACAACCAATGATTGTTGGAAACTTGTGTATTTAAAAAGTAACAAGCTTAGCATCCTTTCATCAAGAACCAGAATGCTAGCTTAAAAAAGCTCCATGAAGTTATTGGAGTTATACCAAAGTTGAAAAAGAGTTTCATTTGTTTTCTAATGCAAAAAACGATAACAACAACAACCATGATGACGATAGCTAATCCTGTTAAGAAAAACAATTAAAAAGCGCAAATAAGACACTTATGCAGATCTGCTAATCTGCACTAAAAGTACTTCTCAATGATCTTTGTAATTGATTAAGTGATTCATAAGCTGAAAGTTTCTCTTGGTTCCAGAGATGAGTTCCCTGATCCAGAAAGATGGGTTACCCATAGCATTTACTTCAGATGCTTGGAACAATGTATGTATCAAACTATGGTGCCAGAAAAAGTGGTTTCTATAAGGACCATCCGATTTTCCAAAAAGCTGAGAGGACCAGATTACAAATTTTAATTTTCTGAGGGAAGATTTCAAATTGTAGTGCAGTAAACATTAAAGGGACATCATCATTTCACTCTCCAGCTGAAAAGGATTTGGTTGTCCATTGGACCTCTGCAATTAATTCATCAGTTGGTTACTTTAATTTAAGTAAGCAGACAAAAAAAGACCCTAACTCCATTCGACTTCTTAAGGTGCCAGGGAGGCCCAACGAGGAGAGGCTTATCCACATTATGTGCTTGAAAAAATCTTTTCTCCATTAACCATTTGAAGCACAGAAAGCAACCAATGATTCAAGAGTCTTGAGACAATTCTAAATTGGCAATCTTTTAACGTAGACCACCGACCACCTATATATTCTCAGGGGCACCTACTGATTTCTATCAAGTTGGTTCATCAAAGCAGATATAAGAGGGAAACATTTAATCAGATATTTGCAAACACAGAGCGATGGAAAGTGACCTCTGCAGAATGCAGTGAAGTGTTGGGAGAAGAAGAGAGCTGCAACTTTCCAGTTAGGAATCTGTTCTGATTCCCGACTAGGGAGAGCAGTTCATGGATGTATCAAATGCTGATAATATAGACTATTCCTTTAGGAACTAGAACCTGTGAGGATAAAAAAGAAAGGACTGATCTTGTCTAGATTATAAGCCATTTGGTACTTGCAAATTTCCAAAGATCTTATCACGTCTGCTGACACAAACAGTTAATAGCAAATAATGAGGAAGAATTACAGAGTGGCAGAAATTTAATCCACAAGTATCATGACTTTTCAGTAAAGAGGAATCAGAAGGACTAATGAGAACATTAAACGATAGTTGAATATAGTAGCAACAAAATAGATAGCTGAGGAAAAGACGTGGAAGGTAGAGACGACACCAGAAATTTTAAGACACAAAAAGCTCTACCAACTATGCCAGATGGGAACAGACAAAGAAGTTTGTAATATATCGAACAAAAAGAGTTACATCATACTTTGTCACTTTGCAAATATAAATCTGTTGCTTACTTTCCTCTTACTCCCTAAATTGCCGAACTGTAACTACAAATCAAACCAACGGCACCAGATGCTGCCAAACATATTTACGGAAATGAAAATTAAGGAGGACACAGGAGAAGAGACTCAACTTAAAAAGTTTAAGAATAAATATGTATGGTTGTAACTCAGGGCACCAAAGAATATGCAAAGTTATATAAATATCATAAAGGGAAGGAACAAGACATCCATTACGCTTGTATTAAAAGTTCATCCAGCTCTAGAGACTCCACCATACTCTTAAGAAAAAATTAGAGGAAGAATTGAAGAAACCTTGCTAGTCAGTCACTCCTCTTCTTTATTACGCTAGTAACGGCCATTAGTAATATTTGGGCTTATCAATCATCATCAAGCCAAAAACTAAGCACAAACCAGATTAACGGCAAGTGGTCTCAATTCATTAAACTAATCATCAACAGATTTGTTTCTTAATAAGTAGTGAGTAGGATATAAGCATACAAAAATGGAATACCTGTAGTTTGCACGAATAGACAACTTGGAGGTTTTTGTTCCTTGAGAGTTTGATTTCCTCTGAATAGTCACCATAGGTGTCTTGACAAACGAGGAGGACTTTGCAGACCAAGGTTCGCATGCTTTGACATGAGTTGCACCTAATTTAGAAGGGGAGAAAAGGGAAGCATCTCAAATTGGAACTCCCAATATCAAGCCAAAAGTAAACACAATCCCTAGTTCACAGAGATACGTTACCACATTAATACACTGTCACTTCACCAATATGGCCAGAGATGGTTGGCATTCTCTTCAATCATACAATACTACCAGAAAAGGACATAAAAAAGAATGCCATTTTTTAAAACTCTTTTCCCAGTAAAGTACGTACGTGATGAACCACTTCAGGAAACTCCAAAGATGCAATTTAAAACTACAAGGCGAGGACACGACACCAAGAGAGACATAGCTTATAAGGATGAGAATCATCATATTCTCATGACAAACAACAAGTGGGCATCTCTATATGTCATAAACAGAAACCCCATATCTATCATTCTGAACCTTGAGAGTTATACTTCCAATCAGATTAGCTCTAATTAAACTTTTAAAACTCCAAAAACGAGACCAAGAGACAGAGAAAGTTAGAAATAATCCAATAGAGAAAGTCACTGGTCAGCTGCAGTACTTCTAATGCATTGCACAACATGCACGTCAAGTATTTTTCAATTTTCAGTACTGTGAATGAATTTAGGGTTGCATTAAACTCCACCAAGCAAGTTACATGAAGGCGAGCAAATCGAATTGCAAGAAACAGAACTAACATTAAAAACAAATATATAGATGAGCAAAATTTTAAGTGTGTCCTAGTGGTCAATAAAGTGAATTGAGCACCATGAGATCTCTTATTCAAATCCCAGCAAAAACAAAACACTAGGCGATTTCTTCGCATTTGTTCTAGCTTTAGTGGACAGAGTTACTTGGCCCCTATTGCCGGTGGGAGGTGACAGGTATCACATATAATTAGTCGAGGTTCTGGCCCAGTTATCAAAAAACAAAAAATCTAATTTCATCAAAGCCGATATCAATGTTCCTATAAATCCTACCTAACTATTGACAGTTCATAATCACAGCGAAGATCCACACAAGTAGATAACATAAAGAAATGAAACGTTCATAATTTATAGATTCACTCCTCCGATGTTTGTTTCCAGCAGCTATAACTCATTTCCGAGATTTTATCCGAAAAAAACCACAAAAGATATATACATATTCAATCTCCTAGAATACTCTTATCAATGGAAAAGTGGAAGTAGGAAATAATCGCCGGCGATGGTACCTGACAAAGAAAAGGGGGCAGCGCCGGTCGCCATGAGAGGAAGCAAGAGAGACGAGGCTGAGCAGTAGATACAAAGAGTGAAGAAATTGAGGATTTTGTTTTTTTCTATTTCTATTTAGAGGGATAGGAATTCAATAACAAATATTTTTTTTAAATAATTAATTAAAAAATCAAAGCTATTTTTTCAATTTTGAATTATATGATGCAAAGCAAACCATAAGACATTTTCAACGGAACAGATAAATGTTTAAGGAATTGTGTCCATTAGAAATAAAATAATTAATAGGAGGGGGAACAAAAATAGAGGAATTGGATTTTTTTTTTTCATTTTTAAATATTTAATCCCTAAATAATTCATTTTTACTTTTTTTTTTAAAAAAAATTATTGGTTTCTTGTAAACCTACTAATATCCTTATTTTTATAGGTACACCAAATATGAGAAATTGTCTTTTCTCAAGAAAAAGAAAAAAGTGAACAATTGATCATAGTCCGTATCATATAAATTTTCACCTACGATAACAATAACATATTCAATAAAATTGTGTATGCAGACTTAACACTACCTGGTAGAGGTCTCATGTATCTTTCAAAGTATGGTGATAAAAACAAAGCTAGAACAGAGCTGGCTACTTCTATCATATGTGTAGTTGTAGTTGTATAACTTTCTCAATATGATTATTCTCATCTCATTAAAATAAGTGAGTTTTTTCCACTAAAATTATAGTCACAAAATTATTTTTTAATCATATTCAAGTGTCACAAAATTATATTTTATAATTTTATAATGAACTGTGTAAATTGCTCAACGTAAATATATGATGCAAATAAGGTTTGAAGATGTTTATCCTCAAGAAACCACATTAGTAGCCGAAGTTATAATTAGCTCGTTACATGATTCTACATTAAAGCCCGACTAAATGCGAATTCACGCCAAAAAGTCCCATGGGATGTTTATCCTCAAGAAAACCACATTAGTAGATGAAGTTATTACTATGCATTATGCTCATTACACGGTACCCACACTAAAATCCGATTAAATGCAAATTTGCGCCAGAAAGTGGTTAAGCGCTCCGTGACAAAAACGACTTCATATCCAAGGGGACTCAAACCCAAGACCTCTTGATTAAAGATGAGGGGTACTTACCACTCCGCCACCACCCTTCCAAACATCCAGAAATGCGTTTATTCATAAAAAGATAAAGGGAGATCACTGAGGGATAACTAATATTTAAAAGGAGAAAAAACTGACGCATAAATGTTAATTTTTTCTATGGTACCAGAGCCCACAACGGCTAATATTCTCTTTATATATACAAAAGTGCCGTCACTCTGCACTTGCAAACTAAAAGAGAAATTGACTGCAAACACCTAACAAAATTATAACCCCTGTATCCTTATGAACATGCTGTAAACCTACCGCATCCATGTGAATAAACTAAAATGTACACCATTATTGGCAAGATCGCCCTACTTGTTGCCGAGTCCCCCAAAGAAGAGGAGAGGTGTATTACTGCGTCTTTTTTCAGGTATTGCTTGCTCAGTTTGTGAAACAGAACCTTTCTGTTGTTCCTTTTCCGGGAAAGGAAATGAAAGAGAAAGGGAGAGAGAAGCAGAGACATCCTCTACCTCCTTCACTCCAACTGAAGAATGGTCCTGACTGACTTTCTTGTCTACTTTCCCAACTAAAAAGGATGGGATTCCTGGAGTTGGCGGATGTGTCTCACCACCCTGGTCCTGAATGATATTCTTGTCTACTTTCCCAACTAAAAAGGGTGGGATTCCCGGAGTTGGTGGATGTGTCTCACCACCCTGGTCCTGAATGATTTTCTTGTCTACTTTCCCAACTAAAAAGGGTGGGATTCCCTGAGTCAGCGATTGTGTCTCACCACCTTGGAGCTGAATGATTTTCTTGTCTACTTTCCCAACTAAAAAGGATGGGATTCCCCAAGTCTGTGAATTTGACTCACCACCTAATGCTAGCTCAAGATTCGGGATTCTATCACTAAGCTGATCATTGTCAGGATGATGCATTTGCCAAGGCGTCGAGCTAGCCTTACCAGGATTTGGATCAACAGGGAAGAAATATCTTTCAGCACTCTCTGAGCACTCCGGAACAGGTGCTTTACTCAGAGCTTCATCATACCCAGTATCCGGAAGGTAGGGTCCATAAGAGGAACCACGCATCCGTGACAAAAAATCATCACTGGAACAACTAGTTTGCTCGCTATTACCATAAGATCCACCAATACTAGTCTTCAATTTTTTGTCATGGTGTGCCTCTTCAACTAGAAGGTCATTATCATTAAAAAGTCGAGTTGCTCGATTAACTCCAGAGTCAGCAGATTGCATCACGGTCTCCACTGAACGGGGACGTTTCAGGTGGTTTGACACATCACTAATGAGCGCCTTCCGTGTCGGTTCCGTAGCTGCACTTCCACTCGTTTCAGATGCCTCTTCATCTTTATATTCATCTTCCAGATTTATCTCAAATTTCCTACCATTTGTGCTACAGAAGCCTTTCTCCATGCTGCCCACAGAAGTTTTCTCCTGCATATGACCTGCAGCTTCATCAACAGAGCGGGATGGCTGAGAATTGGCAGCTGGTGCAGAACTACTTAGCACTTCCACTTTGCATTCACGTCCATCATCTCCAACCACCTAAAAGAGTGTTAATGATGTTCATTAAGTAAATGCTGCAGCAACGTAAATGAACTAGTGTATAAGCAAAAGAGAGCAAGGGGAAATCTCCTGAAGACAATCAAGCATTAGGTACACCCATACAACTGCAACATGAAGGATATATTAGACATTAGTTTGATAACAAGAAATCTGAGCTGACACACTCACTACAAAGAAGAAATAAAAGAAACATTTGTGAATAACAAGTTAAACCTACTACAATATCCACTACAAAGCACAGCAGGTTGACCATTTGCAATAGATAAATACGCTATGACAAGATCTAAGAGAATCAGGACAACTGCAGAAATAATAGCCAATTACCTTTCCAGCTCCTGCCATTTGATGTGAGCAACAAATGAATGATATGGACTTGATAACATATCACAATTACAATATATCCCAAGTGTAAACAGATAGAAGTCCAAGATTTTCTCCCCCATGATGCAAGACATGAGCGAAATAAAAGATTGAGGACCACCTAACTGCCCAAAGCTAATTACACTGTCTTGGGATGTAATGAGAATGTCTCAATAGAAAATGTTGTGATCCATCTAAGGATCAGCATGATTAGTGTAGATAGCAAGTCAAATCACTCAAGTGCTTTGGATGATCCTTGCACCACCCAAAAGAGAGGAATTGATACGCCAGAAATGGCAAACCAAAAATAAGAAGATAAAAACTCTGAAATCATGTCATATGACACCATTCATCACTTAAAGCAACAATGCCAGAACTGGCCCCATTTGGACTTTAAGTTGATATCTGACATGATCAATACAGACTAAAGGACTCAAAGTTGACTAGGATTTGTTTATAGGTCACCAGTTCAACACAGAGAACCCAGATTTGCAAAATCTAAACAACTAATATCATTATAAGTACTGAAATAGCAATAGTCAGTAAAGCAACCGAGCAGACAATATATATTAAAGTCACAAAAGTATCTCAAGCAGCATCGGACTTGCACTGTCAATGTGTGTTTTCTAGTTTTTCATTTTTTTGCGTGAAAGAGGCACTCTAGTGGCTAGTGCAATGCGTCTATGAATATATGATTTTTGGATTCAACAGACTATTCAAATCTTTGATTAAAGTAGCAAATTTGAAGCTCCCTATGCAAATATGATAAAGTTAAACAGCACCTGGAAAATGCCAAACTGTCTCCTCTCTGGGGCAAAATCCATGTGGCTGGCCGGTACAGAAGACATGGACCTAGGCTCCAGATGCTCCACCTTTGTGTCTGCAGAGTCACCTTTGCATACTTGGGCCGCTTTAGAATCAACATTTCCATTAACTAATGGACAGCTAGACTTCTTTGAAGCAGTTACCTCACCATCCATGGAAACATTACCACTTGTAACATTGTCTACAGGTCCGAGGCAATGTATATTCTCTGGAAAAGGCATGATTAATTTTGGAGTATCTTGGGGTACAAGAGATGGCTTTCCAGTTGTTGCCTGCACCTTCTTTACTCTAAAGACACCCCATAGGAAGAACATCATATTCCACCCTGCATAAACAGCATGATCAGAACAAACAAAAAACAAGGACAGTTTCTCCATCTCATTTTGCATGAAGTATCTTCCAGAGAGTAAGTTTGCATTAGTACATGTCTTCATTTCAACACCCTACATAACAATCACCACTACATGTGAATGAGAACCGAAAGGCACCGACGAGTATACTCCCCATTGCAAATAAACAAGTAAAGAGTAGCTAATGTACCAAGCAGACATGCATTATCTGCTTAAAGAATAGTAGGAAGGAAATTAAGCAGGAAATATGTGATAAAAGTAAACAATGGGTTCCTTCATTTTGGGCGTCAGAGTTCAGGATCAAAAACTTCACAAAATCCAGATTCATCCATATCGAGTACCATCTTATGCCAAAGCAAGGTAATAAAATGTGAACCAAGCTTGTCGCAGTCTGTAGAACCTCACGCTTGATATATAATTGTGAGATAATGCTTGCATAATATAACTTAGATAATACTTAAAAATTTCAACGCAACATATATCAAGTTCAAGGAAGTATCTCATAATATGTGTCATCCTTACGTTGAGATTTTTCAGGAAGTCTGTTAGATGGGAATATCAGAAGTTCAACACCTTGAAGATTCGCTTTGAGAGCCGTGTCATTCCTAATCATATTCTCCAGCAAAATTTTGTAGCACCTCTCATAGCTGAGACATTATATAATACCATCAATGTCAGATGAAAAAACAAATAATACTGGCGGGAAACCCAATTTACCGAAACAAGAAAATTTAAATGGGAACAGTTACCTTCCAATATCTTGAGCAAAAAAGAACAGTGCAATATTATCTTCTTTAACACCATACTCCTGAAATTGTATTGGCCAAGTGCTCAATCGTGATACCTCATTAAAGAGGACCTTTTGAGGAAATTTATGTACTGTGTCAAGAACGTTGGGTGATGCACAACTTGATAAATGAGCCTGAATTCCATCACATAGGTCGAGACTTCTTCCACTCTTCTGAACCTCAAAAGCACCCCTGAACAAAAAGTAAGCATAAATAATTGCTTCTGAAATGCAATAAAATCTCACAACTACAACCTATCAAATTCAAAAATCCTAGGGGGGAAAATCTCTTAAAGAAAAATAAGATAAAGTTGGACATCATACTGCCATATATATTCATGCTCTGGAAATGCTGTCTTCGAAAGTATTGACATTGCCGCTTGTGAATATCTATGTAAATCAACAAGTGAAGATTTTTCATCAGACAGAAGAATAGGCACCAGATTTCCTGCTCCGGTAAGGGCTTCAGCAGGAAGCACTGATAGCTGCCTCAAGCTACCGATTTCCTGTTTATGAGAGACAGTCATAGAGTTCAATGACACCCCATGGCCATCCTCGTTGGAAGAAAACATTCTTCTGCTACTTGAACCACATAATAGATCCGGAGCCGTTGTTTCAGCATTTGTGTTTGACACAGCTAAATCATCAGATTGATCAACAACCCTATTCTTCCAGCATACTCCAGGCTTCTTTAGCATAGCCGCCTCAATTGCAGCTTTAAGATTGCTGGTGCCATTTGGGGCCTCTCTAGAATTTTTTACAGTAGAAACATCAGAAGCGACTAATTCAGACCCATCAACAGTGCAACTATCTGTCAAGTGACCGCTTCCTTTACACTTCTGGCAGAAGAGTGACTTAATACCAGTTCCAGTGTGTTTTAAGCGTCTCCCAGAACTCTCCTTTATTCTCTCACCAACATTTTTTGATTCACTCGGCTGGGGCAGTCCATCCAACAGACCTTCACCAGTGTTAGATGTTGGTCTCTCAGCAATATAAGAGTTTGGCAAAGAATCATCTCTTGCACTACTCTGGTCAGGTCGCTGATCAGAGCTACTAATTTTATTGGCAGCAGGAGCTCCTGTAGAGATGGATGTGTGAGCTGTCTGCTTCTTAGCTTCATCTGATTAACATAGGCAGAAAATGCATAATAAAATGAATATGTAAAAGGCTTTAACGCCCACCCCCTCCCAACAAAGAATATGAGTAGACAGAATGAGAGACAGAAGGCATATCAACTTAAAGCCACTCTACCTGAATGAACAGATAAATCCTGTGTCCTACGAGCAACAGCACCAGAAGATTTCAATAGTGACATAGGTTTGCTGTCAAGCTGACCTGTTCGTGAATCACGGATATTACTTGAGGAAGGAAGTGGTGAAGGGTCACCTCGAAATGCTGATCTTTGATCCGTTCTAGAAGGAACAGAAGTACCGGGAGAACGCTCTGATCTAAAAGAATTCTTCCTTTCAAATTGATTTCGTTCTTTTGTCTGTATTTGTGCTTTGTCCTGAGCAGGGGAAAACCTAGGGGATAACATCTTAACTTTTGATTCAGAGACATTGTTGCGGCTAGTGCTTATCGATCTAAATGACATAGATTTGCTCATTGATCGAGTAGAACTCTCTTTCGCATCAAGACCAGTGGGCTCTCTGACCAATTTCTGCTTCGGGGGGAAACTTTCATCTACAAGTAGCACTTTTCGTTTTGCAGCCAGGGAACTGAAAGAATTAGACTTCGAAAAGGTACCTGCAGATACTAAAAGAATCCAGCTTAATTGGTTATGGCATACTACGTGACATACCAAGCAGCAGAAAAGATAAGAGAATTTCTTAGAGAGTCGAGAAGGTCAGATCCAAGCCAATTTTGATAAAATTACCTCTAGAAGTTTGTAGTCGTGACCCCCAAGCTGGAGTATCATGAACAGAAAGGCCTCCAGAAGAAATCAGATTAGCAGATTTCAACTTCCCCTTATCTGAGTTTTTAAATGAACTTTCACGAGAAAGGGCAGGAAGTTTATTGGGACTCAGTGTTTTTGGTGATGCCGGAACTGGTTCAAGAGCCTGCTTCTTTGCTGCAGAAGAAACTTCAGTATCATCCATGCGCCTCTTGCCAGGAGTTTTAGGGTCAGAAGCTATGTCACCCTCAAAATCAGGAGGCTTTGATTCCGTTTTTATGGTAAGGCCTGTATTGCCAACAGCAATTTTTTGACCAGTAGGATAACTTTTTCCATTTCCATCAAACTTCACTGATTTATCTTCTTTCCGATTTTTCATTTCCTCATCAAATTTGCATTCCTCGCACATCCAATCACCCTCTGGAACTTTTTGTAACATTTCTCGCATGCAATAACTAGGACAAAACAACAGAATATTCACATCAACCACAAGACGAGGAATAAAATGACCATGTGGAGATAAAATGAATTAGAGGCTTACGTATGTTCTGCACCATCTGTACATTTACAACATATGGCAAGTAAATCCTCCCGACCAGCATCTCCACATATATCACAAACTTTCACCTGTAATTGGAAAGGACACTACAGTCAATTTCAAAGGGGAAAAAAGGTGTGTGGTACGATTCAAACTTGCAAACTAGTTTAGAGGGAACAACTACAAAATAAACATAATAAGGCAGCATGATTTCCTAATCTAAGTTACACAGTTCTCCAAGAAACACAAGACATATCAAATGCATCACTTGTATGCAAAAATAAAAGAGAATGTGTGCCTCAATTAACGAAGCAAAAAACTCACATGCATAGCACTAATTCATACATTGCAATCTGTAATATTATCGACAAAACATTTCCTGCTAAAAGAATTTCCAATGATACCTTTATTTATCACGCCTTTTTAGACCAAAAAGAATCTGCACGACTAATCTAAACAAACTAAGAGACATAGCAGCAATTCTTGCAGATTAGAAGCCACTTCTTTTTTAGTGTTCATACGGAAGCTGGTCAATTTGACCATACATTTGAAGTGAATCTATTCATTAGCTTTATGCACAACAGTTTTTTCTTTGTAATGCTCTAATAACCCCTTACAGATATCCAGTGAGTGATGTACCAACATCTCCAGCAAAGTACCATAGAATTTGATATTGGCATTTAGCTCTGCTGCGCAAAAATTCCATTTTCTGTAAACAAGTTAGAACTGCCTAATCCCCATAGTAGGAATGATGCCCCTTATAAGTCATGCTTTAGACATTCAATAGTTCTCAGACTTGACAGGTAAAACATGTCCAACCAGATAAATATAAGTTATGGGCTTAATGATTTCTAAATGTGACTAATAATGGGAAGAATATATGCAAATGTGTTCACATGTTTACAAGTTTAGTTGACTTCTTCAGTGTCTGAAGACATAAAAACATAAGATTTCTCATATTTCCTTTTACAGATGATAGTCATTCGTAGTCTTCAAAGTCAGGTTGTAGTAACCTGACTGTTTCATATCATGGTGGTCTTGCCTGGGGATTGATCTATTGGATGAGACAAATGACAAGCTTAGAGGACAAAACAAACAAAAAGAAAGAAAATAAGTGTTCCAAGAGCAAACAGCAAAAGCACTCTTACTTACATCTAGCTCCTCAATGTCAGAATCCTCACTCTCATCCATTTGATGTGATTGTAAGGCGTCCTTTGTATCAGAGGAAACAGGTGATCCAACATTCTTTTGGTCATTCTTCTCAGGACAAGTATCAGCAGGTCGATCATCAGAAGCTTCAGATGCCACGTCATTCTTTAATAATGAATGGTTATTTTCCAAACAGTCTCCTGTCCTATGTGCATTTCTTGATGAGGTCGCCTCAGTAGGTGCCTTGTTATCTTCTTCCCCACTGCTTTCATTCTGCCTACTATGGTCAACTGGACTACCATCATCAGCCTCAACTTTCACGTGTACACATCCAGCAGAAGTTTGATTATTTATAGTCCTCCCACTGGAAGTAGAAGAACACTGAAGACTTGATTTGTCTTCACTCGTCTTACTGAAGCTGGATAATTTATTACCTTCATCGCCTCTACCGATACATGACATGTTGTCATCAAGGCCTTCAAAAGATTTGGGATGCTTTAACTTCGCAAGCACTGCACCATCTGAAGTAACTGATGAAACATCAGAAGTCCTTGCATTTGCTTTAACTTCAGTGTTTGCAGAGAAAGATAAGCTACTTGAACTAGTGCGGATTGCACTGTCTATTTTACTACTCTGTCTAATTTCACATTTTCTAGTCTTATCAGAAGACGAAACATCATTGACAGAGAAACTTAAGCTATTTATACCTGTTTCTCCAGATAATTCATCAACTTTTGACTCCATGAGACTTGGACTAGTAGGAAAACAAGAAGAGCAAGGAGTGGAGCACACGTTACACGTTCCAGAGACTAATCCTCCACCGACACTCTGATTCTGAGAACACGGGATAGATTCCTTATTGACTTCAGTTGACACCTGAACACAATAAAACATTCGGAAAAAAAAGGAGTTTTGATTAAGGAGAGGAATCAATAATAGGGAAACCTACAGGATATAAAGAATGTAGATAGTATTGTTAGACTTTATTGATTCTTTGCAAGTTTAGGACTTCCACAGCAGTACCCCTTTTTGTTATTGTACAGAAGGATTCCTGTCACGCCTCAGCACCTACTTGGTGCTAGGCTGTTCCTTTTTCTCAGTAGACACACTACTTACATTCTCAAAAATAAAATAAAAAATAAGGCAACTATGACGATGGCAAAAAGCTGAGTCGATCATATAATGAGAGTACCTGTCAACAAATCCTAACATCTCAGACTCTAAGTAGTATTTTTTTTAAAAAGAGCACACATCTTTTCTCCGATTATAACAGATTAACGAATAAGATAGCCCTTCACATTTTCTTGTTCTTTTTTTTATCAGTTGGATAGTCCTTCATATTTCTTTATCAAAACAATGCTAGCCTTATTTATTTATTTATTTGAAACTGGTAACATGTATTCTTCAGCATTAAGGGTATGCTGGCCACCTCCAAAACATTTATTTCCCTAAGAAGGACTAAGCCCTATGATTATCATTCTGCTCAGATATTGCCTATTCTAAAAATCTTATAGATACTCTGTTAAAGGACAGGAAAAAGGCTCTCACATCCTTCCATTATAAAATAACACCAAAATCTAGAAAAAAACAAACACAATCTACTTGTACCACATTACTCATTTCTCTAAGTTGCTAACAGCTAGAAAATATCAATGATGCCATTATAACTCAAGAAATGGGAATGCCCTTTTGCTATAAACAAGAAAATTTCCGGAAAGCCAACAAAGTACACCAAAAACAATGTTTTGACGATTCAGGCGAGTAGAGAGGAAGTATCTACTTGTCAGTAGTATCCAACAACAAAAGAAATATTGCCCACCCTTCTCCTATGTATGGAAATTTAAATCTTCAGCAGGGAAAGAATACACTATCAAACCAGGTTACCACTCCAGGATAAAAAGGAACTAAACCCGCAGTTTACATATATTTCCGAAACAAACTAATGGACAACAAATAGGAAAGTGAATATACATCACATTAATGGAAGATAATAATGAGTCAAAAGAATGAACACACAGAATGTAATTACCCTGTAGTCTCACCGTATTCGTCTGGAAGTTACAGATAGGTTCAACAAACGGCCCTTGCATCCGATGGCTTCCTCTCAACAGAGGGGTAATCTAAAAATGAATTAAAGACACTATCAGTTGCAGCCAAACAACATCATCCAAAAATCCAGGAAAACAACAGTACAGCAAATAGATCGTATAGCATGCCAAAGCATAAAACTGAATAAATCCCAAAACATCCTTGAGCAAAAGTACTAATAAATTAAAGAAAAATCTATTTTTGATTAATCAGAAACCCTAACCTTGACAGAAGTAAACAATCGTCTTCAAACAAGTATCAGGAACAAATCAACATTGAAATTTATCCACAAACGATGCCGTTCCATACTGATTCCGATTGAAAATGAAAAAACACAAAAAGAATCGAAACTTTTGATTGACGCACGATTCAAGAAGCAGTTTTACAAAACTCAAAGAGAGCCCATCAATTGAAGGTAGAATAAAAAAAACCCTAATTGAATTTCAGAGATTAAACAACAGAAAATTAACGTGCCTTCGGTTTCGAAAGAGTGAAAGTCACATTGTATAACTCATTCAAACTTCTTTCCTTATGCTTAGACATCGCCGACAACGAAAAACCGATCGATTAAGCATCCACTTTATCCTTTATCCACGATACCATTCGCTTAATTATCTCAACAATTCAATTCAAAGCATGCAATTCAACAAAAACAGAATGAAAAAAAAACCCCAAATTTCCAAAATGCTTATTATCTGTATCCCCTCCCCTCCCCTCCCCTCTCTCTCTCTTACCCCCTCTATATGTGGTATCAAATGTTAATTTTGATAATTCTAAAGGACGATTCAGCAATTAAATCATACACCGTAAAAAATTCAGATAATTAATCAACTAAGCTATAACGAATAACCGAAATTTACTGTAAATCAATGGCGGAGATTAGGGGAAGTGAACAAATTTAACGTGTTACTTGTTCAGTGAGCAGTTACAACACGCACTGGCATCTCGCTTGTTTGCTCCGTACAGAAAGAAAAAAAATAACACACACACACAGTGGATTTGTTGAGTCTCGTTTATTTTTCTCCTTTAAAAGCGCGGAGCACACCATGGACCACGCTAATATATATATAGAAAAAAAATGTATTTTTTGTATAGATTTGTAGTACATTTTCTTTTATTGGAGCATGTGATAAAATATTATTGGTACCACATGTTCCCTTTTTCGTACTCTTTTCGTTTTAATTTATTTGTCTGGTTTGATTTAGCGCGAAGTTTAAAAAAATAAAACGGATTTTTGAATTTTGTAACCGTTACGCATCATCGGAAGTTATAATTAAAGAATCGTCAAAATGGAACCTCTTTTCGTTTCAATTTATTTGTCTGGTTTGATTTAGCGCAAAACTTAAAAAATAAAATAGACTTTTAGATTTTGTGACCATAACATGTATTGGAAAGGTAAAATTAATGAATTGTCAAAAAGGAAAATGGTCCGTTTTTTAATTTTAAAAAAGGACTAAGGATTAAATTTTAAAAAAAATGAAACGGAGAAAGTATATTATTGGAAAATTATTATCATTATTCCATTTCTATATATACATACTTGGACTCTTTTTTTATATATATATAAGTGGGAAAAGTTATCATGTTTTTATATGTAAGCATGAGTAAAAAGTATAAACTTTTGATATTTGAGTCAATAGTCTATTAAATTCGGATAATATAAGCAACTTAAAATGCGAAGTTACTTCATTGTCTATTTTTTCATAATAAATAAATAAATAACAATAATTAGAATTTTGACTTTAAATTGTTTATTAATAATTAAAATCATAACTTATATTAAAATTAAAATCTTTAAAATGACAAATAATTAGGAATGAGGTGATATCAATTATTTTCTAATTGTGAAATTTATATAATTTATAACTCAATATTATTTTGAGAAAAAAGGAGAAGCACACGAATCTTGCTTATAAAATCATATGATATTGTTTACGGTAAAATTTCACTGAACTAATATATGTGGGATCATGCAATATTATTATTTCGTAAATATATTATTTTATCGATAAATTAATATTTATTAATTTAAAATGTTTTTTTGAAATTTAATGAAGGTTAATTTTGATTACATCAAAATTCTTGTATCTTACTAATTTATGTATCATATTTATTAAATTCACATAAAAATAAATTTATTATACATAAAGTACAACGAATACATCAAAATCGTTGTATCTTACTGAATAAATTCATTATACATAAAGTACAATGTATCTGTATGATTCATTGTAATGTATTTTTTCGTTAAATGATTCATTGTAATATGTTTTTTTGTTAAATGATTCATTGTAAAATAAATCTAAAAATTTAATGATTGATTGTAAAAATAAATTCATTATACATAATGTTCATTGTTTCTATTTAATAATCAGATATTATTCATTTTATTTTTACAAATAACATTCAATGTATGATGGTGAGAGAATAAAGTCAGAAACTATATAAACAACATTAGAAATCTCTTTAAGCCATATCCAGAAATTATTTATCATTTCAAAGGTGTCACAAATCAACATTGACAAATCGAATACGTAAAGCATTATGTGAGTACAAAAGACATCATTCCACATGCATTAAAAAAGATCTTCAGTTATGGCAACATCGAAACTTTTGGATGCAATAAGAAAAGTTAGAAATAAGCTTCAACTAGATTTAAAATTTAACAAAAAATAAAACACAATAGAATCATATTTCACTAAATTGTCTTAGATATATTTGTACTTTTATAGAATTATTAATTTATAATATTAATAGGACCATTAACCATATATTTATATAGGGGTCTTCTGAAAATATATTATTATCTTATCGAAATAGATGGTTATTTTCATTAACCCAAGCTGGAACCAGAGCAAAATATCATTTTAAAGAGATTATTAATTTATCAAATATTAATTTAATAAAGTGTTACATCAATTGAAACTGAAAAAATATAAAATAAGAGAATGTAGGTAGGTTCATCACACGAACCTTGAGAACAAAATTCACACGTGCTTGACTTGAACAATACATGTGTCTTTTTAAAAGTTTATCTCCCTAACAATGTTATGCAATATGTAATTTTTTACTTTAATTTATAAATGTTATATCTTAATTATTTTTAAAAAAGAATAAGTATATATTGCAGAAATATATTTGTCGGTCATAAAATTGACAATATGTGGAATGAGGTAATACCGCATTTTCTTATTGTAAAATTTATGTAATGATGGTCATGATTGTTTCGAGGCTATCATGTTGTGAAAAGAGAGAACATGTGAACCTTGCTTATAAGACCATACGATGTTGTCTTAAATGAAGATTTGAAGCGTTGATGTTGTGATTTAATTTAAGTATATAATTAAATATTCTTCATAAAATTCAAAGTGCATTATTTTTAAATATATATATATATTCTACTACTAACTTGTTAACTAATTTTTTTGGATAAACCTAACGTAATTTGAATGTGGAGAACCTGAAGTATCATATACATAATTTGAATTCGAAGAATAAATACACATCATATTAATTGAGGTTAAAAAAATAGAAAATAAGATTATAGATATAGATTTGCTCGATTTGCACAAAATAAATAAATATATGCACGACACGTGTTTCTTTTTAAAGTTTTATCACTCCACTATCAATGTTATGTGATACGTATTCTTACTTTAATTTATGATTTTTATATTTGAAAACGAAGAGTATTTATTACATAAACATATATAATGACAATTAATATGAAATGGGGTAATATCATTTTTTTATCGTATGATTTATGTAATACTATTCGAGACTGTTTTGACTTTTGAGATTATCATGTTATGAAGAAAAAAACATGTGCATCTCGATTAAAAGATCATATAATGTTATCTTATATATCTTTGAGTCATTATTAATGTGATTTTTCTTTTGAATTGTAATTAAATGTTCTTTATAAAATTCAAAATGTGCTATTTTTAAGATATATGTTTACTATTAACTTGTTAACGATTTTTTTTTTTTAGATAAATAACGTAATTTGAATGAGGAGAACAGAAAAGAATCATATTTCTAATTTGAATTTGAAGAATAAAAAATACCACAACAATTGGGATTTAAAAATAGAAAAATAAGAGAATACATGTAGGTTCATCACATAAACCTCAAGATCAAAATTCGTGTGCGCTCAATTTGCACAAAATAAATAAATATTCCCTCTGTTTTTACTGATATGTCACCATTTTAAATTTCACCCCCTTTAATAAATTAGATCATTTTACGAATGTACTTTTATTTAGTGATCACTTGAAATCAGGTTTTCAATAAATGAATATAAATCATTTTATTTTGATTAATTAAATTGACCAATGAACTTAAGTTCACCATTTAGTTTTCTTGTGTTGGTTAAATTCATCCTTTCAATATTGATAACTCTCAAGAGTAAAATAGGAATAAATGATGTTATTTATGTATTGATTTTGTGAAATGACAAGTAAAGAACATTTATTTTTAATAAGGACTACATGTAAATAGGAACAAAGTAAATATATGCGTGATACATATGTCTTTTTAAAAGTTTATCACTCCTTTTAATAATGTTACGTTATTTGTATTTTTACTTTAATTTGTAATTGTTATGTCTTAATTATTTTATTTTAAAACGGTGAGTATTTATTACATAAACATATATAATAATTTTAAAATTTGACAATTATGTGTTACTACTCAAGATTGTTTTGAGATTATCATATTATAAATAAAAAATATGTGAATCTTTTATATAAGATCATATGATATTGTCTTATATGAAAATTTAAAGCATGTTGATGTGATTTAATTTAGATTTGTGATTAAATGTGTTTTAAAAAATTGAAACGTCAACACCACAAAAAATAAGATTTTAAAATAATTAAAAATTATTAATTACATGTAATAAGGTTAAATAATAAATACCTATTTTATTTTTAAAATAGTTTTTTAATTTGAACGTGTGTGATTCCTTTTTTTGTGGAAAAATATTTTAAACTTTCTTTTCGAAACCTCCTTATTTATAGCAAAATAAATGCATAAAATAATAATTATTTATAATTATTATTTTTTATTAAATTAACCAAATTAATTTAAATTCCGGAAATAAAGATAAAAATTACAAACACAAAAGGATAAAAAAAAATGAAAACACGGTTTGTCGGTTCAAATTTTTATTTTTAAAAAAAAAGTATAACTTCCCACGTTTTCTAAAAAATAAATATGTATTATGGACAAAATCTAACTTTTACCACTTGGAAACTTTAAAAAATTAAATTAAAATTATCATTATTATTTTATTTTCTTTTAAAAAAGATAACTATATATAAATTGCCGTAAACAACACACA